GCGAGGGATGAGTAAATCAATCTTTTTTGGTTTTAATGTAGTTTGCGCAGTTTCCTGTTCTTTCAGTCTTAAAAATCTAACATATTCCGCCATTGTGACAAGGCCACCATCAAAAATTGGTTTCGTAAACGATGCATACACATTTTCAATGCACTAAACATTGAGGTTATTATTGGTAGCACCTCCTCTTTGTGATACTTACTCCAAATTTCATGACATTTGAAAGATTGGAAGTGGAGTTATGGCACTGACGTAAAAGTATTTTTTTGTAAAAAAACATAACACGAAAATAAGTTGTAACATTTTTAAGAATCACCTTGAATATTTCGACTCCTGACAGCAAGAAAATCCCTCTGAAGTCTGGAAAGTCTATATTTGATAGGTACCAAAAAATCGGGTAAAGTTTTCTGAACAAAGTTTTCGAAAGAAACTTTCATATACCTCGCTTCTTTTTTCTTAATTTAATTATAAAATCCCTTGAAGTTAACAAAAATTGCATTTTTTTTGTATTATATTACGTTATAAATTGTAATATTTTATTTATATGTATACTCTGTTACAGTTTAAAAAACTATGCGATTGATCGACCTGAGAAAAGATCGCTTAAAATTTGCTAGTTTTATTTATTCTTGAAGAAGTTGGATTTTATCTAACAGTTTTTACCTTTTTTAAGAAAGTTACTTTCTTTGTGTATGTATATGCTCTCAAAGTAAACTTATTATGCCTAATGTCAATTGGGTATCTCAGACTTAATTCTTTTAATTTTCTGCGTTTGCATACCACTAGCCTAAGAATCCTTAACTGTCAAGAACTTCCCACCCACCAATAAAAACTATTTAAAATATAACATTAATATAAATTTAATATTAATATAATAATATATATAAAAGGCAAAAAAAACAATGATATTATATAGACGCCTCGAAAAAAGAAAAAATATTTCTGCAAAAATAAAAACACATGCTCAAAAATCACATATTCTTAACTTTCTAAAATTTGGCCATTGCTTTTATATTCAAGCAAACATTCAGTTATTAGATTATCTATAACTATAAATACCTTATTAAGTAGTTAACAGAAATAAGTTCCTTTCCAATTCATTATATTTGCCCTTTTGGGATCGCAATAGAAAAATCACTCAAAGCAGACGGAAACTTAGCAGTAGGAAGGCAAACTAAGAATGGCTAACCACAGCCAAAACTCATTTCAATCCCCCAATTCCCCACCACTGTCGTCAACTCCGGCGACCTCCAACAACTTTACTTCTTGCATGACCCCGCCTAACCCAAACTCACAAAAATGTTACACAAACGTGCCTTGAACGATTTTTGTGGCTTTTTTGCTTTCTGCTCTAAACAACAAAAGCATTTTGTCTGGGGGGAACTACAATGGCGTTAGGTCGTAGCATTTTTCTGGGGCTCAAATAGGGTGAGGTGGATGGTGTGGAGTGAGGTTTGTGGAGGATGTGTGAATTGTTTGGCGTCCATGTGTGTTTGTTGTTTATTTACGGCAACCAGCCAAGAAAAACCAACCAGCCCCAAAAAGGCAGCCTAACATGAGGCTTTGTAGCGGCAAACTAAGAAAATATCGCAAAGAATGTGAGGAACATGTACATCTCGAAGCACGCTCATATTCCAGCACTTGTTGGTGTTTTTCAGACTTGGTCTGAGAAGGCCTAAAAATATGAAAACTTAGTCTTTTATCGCCGTGATGTGACTGAGAAAGTCTAAAAATACGAAAACATAGCATTTAATCGCTGTGATCATCCTTTAGAAAAATACATAAAAAAAAGTAGAGTACTTTTTAAAACTGCTTATTTTCTGGCTTTAACTTGTAGCTCATAAGCGAAGTTATAATTTTTTGTAACTTCAAATTAAATACATTAATGAAAATGTAAAATATTACCCGTTAAGTATTGCTTTGGAAATTAATCAAAGAAAAAATAAGAGCTCGAGGTACGGGAAATATTAGGTTGTGTTTTGAAGTAAATTTGCTTAGATTTTAGTTTTTTGGTTGATTTTAATTAATTAGTCAAAACTGAACGTGACTCTAAGATTTGGGTTAAAATTTGGATAGAACTTATTTCAGTGAGATCCTGATAATATTGATATTTCTTTTAAAATACTTCTTCTTCATTGAGACCTTAATAAAAGCTTGTTCACATTAAAACTCTTTAAATGTTCCAGGTATTGTAATTATTTAAACCATACGCGTTCAATTCTGTGTGGGAGTCTGTAAGAAGTCTTGTTAATATTGTATTCCAATTCAGAGAATTTCCTCGTCGGTTACTGCTTGAATCGATATTTTCCATCTTGTTTTTTATACCCTTGCAGAGGGTATTATAATTTTGGTCAAAAGTGTGCAACGCAGTGAAGGAGACATCTCCGACCCTATAAAGTATATATATTCTTGATCAGGATCACCTCCTGAGTTGATATAGCCATGTCCGTCTGTCCGTCTGTCCGTCAGTCCGTCTGTCCGTCTGTCCGTCTGTCTGTCCGTCTGTCTGTTTCTACGCGAACTAGTCTCTCAGTTTTAAAGATATCGAATTGAAACTTTGCACACACCCTTCTTTCCTTTGCACGCAGTATATAAGTCGGAACGGCCGGGATCGGCCGACTATATCCTATAGCTGCCATATAACTGATTGATCGGAAATGCCATAACTCTGCTGTTTGTTAAGTTAGGAAGTTGGGACTCTCTATGGGTATTATATTTGGCCAATCAATCCGACGTACCAAATTTCATAAGGATCGGCCGACTATATCCTATAGCTGCCATATAACTGATTGATCGGAAATGCTATAACTTTGTTGTTTGTAAAGTTAGGAAGTTGGGATTTTCTATGGGTTTTATATTTGGCCTATTAATCCGACCTACCAAATTTCATAAGGATCGGCCGACTATATCTTATAGCTGCCATATAACTGATTGATCGGAAATGCCATAACTTTGGTGTTTGTTAAGTTAGGAAGTTGGGATTTTCTATGGGTTTTATTTTTGCCCAATCAATCCGACATATCAAATTTCATAAGGATCGGCCGACTATATTCTATAGCTGCCATATACATAACTGAACGATTGGAAATGCCATAACTTTGGTGTTTTTAAAGTTAGGAAGTTGGGATTTTTTATGAGTATTAAGAATGCATCATATGAATAATTTTGGAGAATATAATTTGCAGAATATTCTGCAAGGGTATTTCAACTTCGGCTCCGCCCGAAGTTAGCTTTCCTTTCTTGTTTTCTTTTCCAGTTGTGCTCTTTTGTGGGATGCTATAGTCCGCTTCTATCGTTTTCAATTGGGTGGTGGCTAGCTGTAGGCGGACCCTTCTCTTTCTAGCACCGTTTCGGTCTACAAGCCATCATCGCGGGGACGTCCTTGGGTTGACTGACGTCTAAGTTCGAGCTTTGGCCATCATCTCTTGATTGTCAATACATTTTAGTCGCATTTTCAGCGAGCGGATAATGCGTGTAATCCGCTATTAAGTGCACATTGTCAATCGACCCTCACGCCCAGCCCTCCACCCCAAAGAGCGGCCCTTGCGTGTGAGAAAATCTGCAACGATTCTCACGCTGCCTTGTCCCTTGCTTCTGTCCAGGCTTTCTGTGCAGTGAACCCATCAATGGCAGCTACTGAATACTAAATACGAAACCGACATCCATGAGATGAGTTTGGCTCCTGGATGTAGTCGGCCAAAGTCCGCCCCCCCCCCCAACAGTAGATACCCAGAATGTTTGTCGCTATTATGTGTTTTTATGCTACATTTAATGTTGGCTTAAGAGCTTTAAAGCTAGCATTGTTGCATGGAGCTGTGTATTCGGTTTGGTTATGGCTATCCGACTCCCGATTGCAGAATGGATGGGGGCTGCTCGATTTAAAAATGAGATACATTTGGTATGCTGAATTGAATATCCGGGCATTGTTAAACTAATAAGCTTTGTTTTAAATTGTTGACTATAAAAGTTCATATATTTTAAACAAGGCCTAAAATCAAAACATACTACGTGGCAGATTCCGCTCAGTGTTAATGTGCGGTATCCTCTTTCCATTGCTTTAACTTTGAAAAAGTGGGAAGTTTAGTAAAACAATCTTTAATTTTAAATCTTTTTTTGAAACAATAAATTTTAATAATTTTTTCAGGAGATATGTTACAGTTTATTCAGATGTTCGTTTTAACCAAAAATCATCCTAACCATTTGAATAAATTTTTGTTACAAATAAGAAAATCAAAAATTGATATTTTATTTTTAATCTTCAGTTTTCGCGTGTCTGTAATGTATTGTATTAAGGTAAATTATTTGAATTGGAAAGTATTTTGACAGTCCCACAACTTTTTCATAAAATGAAAACCCCTTATTTTCAAAATAAGGGTGTTATGCTGAAAGCTGATTTTTTGATTCTTTATATTTAAATTTATTAAATTATCCCGGCACAAATTTTAAAAGTTATCTAAATCGGATTGTATGTCTAAATAGCTGGAAATATATTTAATACAGGTTAGTCTTTAAAAAGAAGATTTTATTTAACCTTATTTCTTTCTATCTGTAGTTAAATTTAGCTCTCTCTATAAACGAACCATAAAACACAGTTTACAAATTGTTAAGAGTACGCTGTTTCTCACAATATACCCTTTGGCACTGTTCTCTTTTTTTCTAGTGTTTGCAAAAATCAGATTCAACACTTTGCCCCATTAAGTCCTTTGGCCCGACCACAGGATTGAGGCTCGCATAATTTATAATCAGCTTAATGACAAATTTTGCCAAAAACTCAAATGGTAATTTCCCGAGCCTGGCCACAATTGCAGGAGTGGAAGGAGCCGGCGGCATTTCGGTTTCCGAGTTTAAACTAATTTATGCCCAAAAAACCTTGCCGAAGACGGGCTACGTCAGCTAATTTGCTGCATAATTAAATGTATTTGGAAAGCAAAACAATACTTGTGGGAGAGGAAACAACGGCGGGACACAAAGGTATGGGGGGATGTCAGTGTGTTACTTACCATCCTTGTTCATAGCTGATTGAAAGCATTTGGCCAGACGACACGCGCGACACTGATTGCGATGGGTCTTGTCCACAGGACACCGACCCTTGAGATCGCCGGTAGCTTTACAGGTGTAAATGCGATTTCGATGGATGCTCCGCTTGAAAAAGCCCGAGCAGCCTGAAGGAAAGGATTAGCAAGCTTACAATGGAGTTGTTGTAACAGTCTCTAGGACTCACCATCGCAACTGTAGATTCCATAGTGCTTGCCGGAGCTGCGATCGCCACACACCTTGCAAGGAATATCCAACAGGCGGTCGCCCGCTAAAAATGATACGGGAAAATATAGGTATTATAAAACGCAAGGATCAAATTTTCAATTTATTGTTTTAGAATTAAACATTATTGAGATTGTGTGAAATATACAGTATTTGGTTGACATTTAAAAAAACAAGAGAGAACGCTATAGTCGGGAGCCACGACTATCAGATACCCGTTACTCAGGTAAAGGGAGTGCGAGGGAGATGGAGGTAGAAACTTTGATCACGCATAACTTTTTATCGAATGGTCCGATTTGAAAAATTTCTTCTACATTTCGATAGGTATTGATAAACACAATAAAACTGCATTTTTACTTTTCCGAAATATTTAAATTTTTAAAATCGTATATAAGCGATTGTGGGCGTTAAAGGGGGCGTGGCACCATTTTGAAACAAACTTGCGCTGCGTAGGAACTTCTAAAATCTACATGCAAAATGCCAATCTTCTAGCTTTTATAGTTTCCGAGATCTCAGCGTTCATACGGACAGACAGACAGACGGACAGACGGACATGGCTATATCGACTCGGCTAGTGACCCTGATCAAGAATATATATACTTTATAGGGTCGGAAACGCTTCCTTCTAGCTGTTACATACTTTTGCACGAATACAATATACCATTTTACTCTACGAGTAACGGGTATAATTACCATTGAAATGTGCCCTTCCAAACATTTCCTGACAGATTCTGTTAAATTGAATTTGATTAGGAATTGAGCCGGTTTTTATGTAAATAATTGAGTATCTATCAGAGTTGTGCCTTTAAGCGTAATCATTAGTTTTCACTAATCATTAAAAAAGCATTAGTGAAATCGGTTTGAAAAGACATCAGAATTTAAGAAGTACAACCTCTTCTAAAGAATTCGCATTTTAATTTTTATCTGCTTTAGAGGTGGCTCAACATTAGAATTCGCTGTTTGATATTGATTAAGGATAAAGAAAAAGCGTGGGTTCTTTAGAGGACGGACTTTGGATTTGCCCATTTTTATACCCTTGCAGAGGGTATTATAATTTTGGTCAAAAGTGTGCAACGCAGTGAAGGAGACATCTCCGACCCTATAAAGTATATATATTCTTGATCAGGATCACCTCCTGAGTTGATATAGCCATGTCCGTCTGTCCGTCTGTCCGTCTGTCCGTCTGTCCGTCTGTCCGTCTGTCCGTCTGTCTGTCCGTCTGTCTGTTTCTACGCGAACTAGTCTCTCAGTTTTAAAGATATCGAATTGAAACTTTGCACACACCCTTCTTTCCTTTGCACGCAGTATATAAGTCGGAACGGCCGGGATCGGCCGACTATATCCTATAGCTGCCATATAACTGATTGATCGGAAATGCCATAACTCTGCTGTTTGTTAGGTTAGGAAGTTGGGACTTTCTATGGGTTTTATATTTGGCCAATCAATCCGACGTACCAAATTTCATAAGGATCGGCCGACTATATCTTATAGCTGCCATATAACTGATTGATCGGAAATGCCATAACTTTGGTGTTTGTAAAGTTAGGAAGTTGGGATTTTCTATGGGTTTTATATTTGGCCAATCAATCCGACGTACCAAATTTCATAAGGATCGGCCGACTATATCTTATAGCTGCCATATAACTGATTGATCGGAAATGCCATAACTTTGGTGTTTGTAAAGTTAGGAAGTTGGGATTTTCTATGGGTTTTATATTTGGCCAATCAATCCGACGTACCAAATTTCATAAGGATCGGTCGACTATATCTTATAGCTGCCATATAACTGATTGATCGGAAATGCCATAACTTTGGTGTTTGTAAAGTTAGGAAGTTGGGATTTTCTATGGGTTTTATATTTGGCCAATCAATCAGACGTACCAAATTTCATAAGGATCGGCCGACTATATCTTATAGCTGCCATATAACTGATTGATCGGAAATGCCATAACTTTGGTGTTTGTTAAGTTAGGAAGTTGGGATTTTCTATGGGTTTTATTTTTGCCTAATCAATCCGACATATCAAATTTCATAAGGATCGGCGGACTATATTCTATAACTGCCATATAACTGAACGATTGGAAATGCCATAACTTTAGTGTTTTTAAAGTTAGGAAATTGGGATTTTTTATGAGTATTAAGAATGCATTATGAATGATTTTGGAGAATATAATTTGCAGAATATTCTGCAAGGGTATTTCAACTTCGGCTCCGCCCGAAGTTAGCTTTCCTTTCTTGTTAAATGTAAAATTGCATTAAAAATCCATTATGAATTTGCGAATTCTTCAAACGATTATCAATGTTGTTAAAAGCGTGCCATTTCTTACGTTTACTTCACGGAACACAATAGATGTGAGATTGGTATTGCTTTCGAATACATATAGGCAAAGACATAAAACAAATTTTGTGGGTTACCAGTTATATTATGTATATATAAAGTTGTATTTTCCATAATTTTTAATTTTGAAATCAAACAAGACAAGTTTTTATTAATGAAAAAAATTAGCATTTTTTCCTTCAAAAGTAATAAAATGTTTTTTTATTATCATTATTTTTTTAAAAGTAATAAATTAAGTTTTCACTAGCATTTTTTTCTATTTTATCATTAATTTTTCAAGAGAAAGAATTGTTTTAAGTTAATTTTAATAAAAACTTTTTTCAAGTTTACTTTTTTAAGTGGTAATGAAATTTTCAATTCATTTTAAAATTAATTCATTAGGCATAACTCTGAAACTCCTTGGATTTTATAAATGCTAGACATATCCATAATAAAGAGATAAGAAAGTATAATGAAAAAAAATTATTGTACCGAGTGATACAGGGAAACATAATAGTCGAGTTTCCTAACTAAGAGTTTTATGTTACTCACCCCAAAAGGCAAAACATGCAACAACAAGTATTGATCAATGAGTCTACCGTTATAAAAACTTTTTGAAACCAAAAATAAGATAGACACGACTAGATCGACTCGGGTAATAATCCTGATTAAGAGTATATATTTATAGGGTTTCAGCTCCTTTGAAAAAATGTAAGAGTACACCCTCTTACTCTCTGTGCTTTATGGGTATACATATGTACAATTATTTAAAGCTATATACGATTTCATTGATTATGCATACTTTGGGTGCTCCTGAGTAAATGTCACATACCAACTTATGTTCCATCACCCACTGGTTCTGCGATATAAGTTAATAATACGATTTTGATGCTTAAAAAGCATAAAGCTAGGTCGAATCTAGGATACATTTTTTGGTCGTTCCTATGATTATCGTTCGACAAATTCTGAAATCGTTGAAAACGACTTTATTTTTAAAAACAAGACACTTATAATTTTATTTACTTTTTCCCGATTCTTCCAATGGCAGCTATATGATTCAGACGTCCGATTTTTATAAAACTTAACTCCTATTCTGAATATATAAATATTTTCATTAAGAAACAACGAAATACATAGTAGTGGCTTAAAATATGTATATAATTTCATATTCCTAATCTAGTAATTCTTTTAATAACTAGTACCTGGAAGTCCTGAACCTCCTCAATCCAATAGAGAAGATCACTACTAGTAATGTCAAGTATCTCCCATAGTTGGTTACAAAGGGTATGTTTATTTAAAGTTAAGGCTTGTTGTAATCATAAGGTCATGGAATCCTGGGCTTGAGTAACTAAATTTTTCTATCGACGCTGTTATGTATAATTTTGCTAAAGCAATTTTATCTTTTAGGGATTTTTAAAAATTAAATAGCTAGTTACAGGCGCGTTGTTACCGCAATAATATTTTAATAATTTTGTAGTTTTGCTAGCTTAACCAGCAGTTGGGTGAAGGTGTTAACTGTTTTAAGGCCATCATAGATTTCTGAAGGCCAAAACGCTGAGCGATCGTTGGCCAATGCGAAAAAATGGCCATAACATCGGCGATAGTGAACTTGGATAGTGAATATTGCAGTTTGGAAGATCAGATAAATGTTCCTGGACAAGGTTTACATTTAAGAATTTACGAATTGATTCCTAAGTAATTGTTTTAATGAAATTTTTCTACGTTCCTATTTAATTTTTATCTTTTATTTATATTAATTAGCTGACTGCTAAAGCTTACAGTAAAAATTAATACTGAAAATCACTTATTGTTTCAGATTTTTATTAATATAAATATAGAGTAATCATTATTTGAGATTTGTATTTAAATAAAACTAAGGTAATCGTTATTTTGAATTTGAATATATATATATCTGAGTTAAGACGCACTTCTACTTACTGTTATTTACTAGAACGAAACAATTTGAAGCCCCATGTCACACATTTCATTCAATCATTGGCATATTTAACTTTTGCCAAGCACTAATCCCCTTCCTCAGAGCTCTTTCGCCCCGAGTACTGAGTGAAAACAGTGAGTCACGGCCAAGAGAAGTTGCCTACTTTGTGGCGCTGCTTCGAGTGTGTTTGCCGCGGATTAGCTTGTGAAAATGGCCCGCACGCTCTCTCACCCCATATGATTCCAGCAGAAGGACGCCCTTTGACTGGCACGCTTCGCAAATTAAGTTCAACACTCGGCACTTGTCAAAATAAAACGCTCGCCCTTTGTTGTGGTCCTTTGTCCTGTGACATTTGACATATTGTCGCTGGTGGAGTTCAGTCGGTTTTGGTTTTGGGTCGGAGTTTGGTCTGCGCGTGTTGCCAATTTTCACACCCTGCGCATCGGCAATTGTCCGCAGAGTGTTAACACCTCTCGAGTGGTCGGGCGTGACGCCTTTTTCGGGGTTGCATCGGAATCGGAATCTGAATCTAAAGGCCCACTGACACCTTTGGCGGTAGACCTTTTCCAGTCCGTTGTTTTCTTTTTTAAAATTTGGTATTGTTGATTTTACATATTTTTGTTTATTTATGCCATCACTTTCTACTTTGGAACCCCTTTTTTGTTTTAGTTTGCCGGTTATGTCTTGATATTAACCGTATACAATATGCTTTCTGAATTTTTATGGAAATCTCGGACATGTTTATATAGGCAAACATCGTGTCGGGTGTGGGAAAAACGTGAGAGTTTTGCAATATTGGCGTGAGAGCTTTAGAATAGGTTATTTTAAAATCGGAAAACTTAAAAGGAGAACTGGGCAAAGTATTATTATTAAGACGAGCTAGGGAAAATACGGAAATTTATTTTTTATAGTGACAAATATCTACAAGTCACTTTAGTTATAAACGGATTACAACAGATTTAATTTACAAATTAAAAAGAATGTATTACACATTATATTCGCGATGGCGAATTAAAGTAAACAAATGGTTGATCTAGTATTTAAAGTTCGCGATATTAAAATGAAAGGGTAACTCAATCATTAGCAAAAACTCAATTAACTGCAACGGCGTTTATCATTCATATAAGATTCGTATAGATATACCTGATTTTTATAAACCTTGACGAACAATTTGTAAAACTGTTTTATTAAACTTTTCTGAGATTTATATAAATAAGATCCTTAAATAACTTTTTTCAGATTTATTTAAATACAATTACTATGGAGTATACAGTCAAAAGCTTGCAACGCAGTGAATGAATCATTTCCGACCCTATAAAGTATATATATTCTTGATCAGCATCACCAGGAGAGTCGATCTAGTCATGTCCGTATCTCCGTCTGTCCGTCCGTCCGTCCGTCCGTCCGTTTCTAAGCAATCTAGTCCCTCAGTTTTAAAGCTATCTGCTTGAAACTTTCCCAAAAGTTGTCTTTCTATTGCAGGTAGTATATAAGTCGGAACGAGTCGGATCGGACCATAGGAACAATCGGAAACAAAATTAAAAAAAAGATAACTTTGTTCTTAATTGTTTTTTTTTGTTCTTCGGATTTGGTTTTATTTAAATATTATTGAATTACGGTTTATATTGAATTAAAATCAGACAATTTCATATAGCTGCCATAGAAACGATGGCAAAATGCATCGCAAAATCGACATAGCTTCAATGTTTTTAGTAATATAGGCATAGAAATCGAAATGTAGTCGAATTGTAATAACTGCAAGGGTATATAAACTTCGAGAATATTATTTTGATTATTTGGTAGTTTTATTTGAAAAAGTAATTGGCTCTATGGTCCTTACGTTTTGGTGATCAGACCATTTTACAATAATTGCTCAACTTTATGCTTTATGTTCGTTGGCACTATAGTGCAGAGGGGGAATTTTTAAATTTTATGCAAATTGTATATTTGTTTTATTAAAACTTGTATTGTGACTTTCACCTTTCCTTAAGGCACTATATATCGAGTGATATTATTTTCTCTTCATTCAGAAGCTTGCATAAACAGTCGAATCGAACAAGCTATTTGTTTCAACAGATATAAGTCTTTAAAGATCTTTAAAGTTGTATGGCTGAAACTTACACAAGTATTTTTTACAGGTATTATACAAATGGGAACATCTGCCACATGAACCATCAGAAAATTAATTTCAATCACACATTCCACACGATTTTAAAATACGGTTATAGTTTGATAAAATCGGAAGACGGTTAGTAAAATATTTCCTCATGGCCAATTTATGAAACGGGTAAAAATACAATTATAAAATATTTTACTTCAAGAGTCCAACAATGAAGTCGATAAAGGCAAGGTGGTCAAAGAAATTCGATAATCCCAATGTCACAAAGACTTAATAATTTCGTTAGTCCTACAAATCCTGGCCTAGTGTTCAGCAGTTTTTGTCCCCAATATTGCGTTCATATAGACCGGATCAAGTCTATGCGAAAAAACCTTTTTAATAATTGTTCTACACGACTTTAACCGGGAAGTGAACATAATACTACCATCATACTCTAGTAAACTCCTTCTAATAAATTTACCTTCTTTAACCAACCGTAAAATGACGGTTGTTATTGCTTTCTTTCGTAAATTTTTTAAATTAACTTACCAGAACTACCAGAAACTACCTTTTTTATGCATGAAGCTTTTAGAATATTAGGTAATAAAATTAGTAGATTAGTAGACTATGTCACATTATTGTTAATACAGGGTCTTTGCCAATTTTAAAACCACAAATTTAATAACTCTTCATATAAAACCTTCAACCTTCCGACTATGCTCAATGTTGTCGCAGAACTACTTATTACTAACCGCCGGTAAAAGTTATTGGTAAATTCCGACGCATCCTTTACCTGTGCCCATTTTCCGTTGATGGAAATATTTGAACCCTAATGTATCCAGTTTGCTTAGATTTACGTTCCACACTGCACACTTAAATTGACAATTGAGTTTGACTTTGAGACGACTTATTAAGAACTCCTCGCAACACCGAAGCACAATGTCACTTGCTATTCAGAGGAATGTTTCCAGATGCCGACGCGATTTGCTGCCGCTGGAACCAGAAACAGATCGCATGGGCTGACGGACCAACTGCGAATGAAACGGGAAGCTAAGGCTGGCAGAGCCAGCAGCGAACAGACCGCCAATTACGAAAGTGAAGCTGCCAAGGAGAGGTCCTTTTTTGCAGTCAATTTGACAGGAGGGCGAGCCAAGCCAAAGGCAGTAACCACCCACCACCCCACCACCCCGCACAAAGCCACAAACGGAAAAGCGAAAAACATAGCTGAGACGGGAAAATGAAAAGCAGCGAGCGCCGAGGATTGAGAACTGAGAACCGGGCAAAGCAAAACGAACAAAAACAAAAAAAAAAAAAAGAAACCCAGCGAAAGTCGAAAATTTACGAAAAGCTACCAAATGTTACATTTCATCCCTTGATAGTGGACCAAAAGCATACGACCAGCCACCCACAAGTTCACCCACCCACCCACTCACCCATTGCACAGTCGGCAGTGTGGTGGACACACCAGCAAGAGTCCTGAAAGAGAGAGAGAGAGTCGCGGGAGGAGAGCGAGGAGTGCCGGGTAACCAACCGGAAAACGCCCTTTTTTCAGTGTCCCTGCCTGATGCGATTACAGCAAATGAGGAGACTTCCTACCGTCCACCATTTTTGTTTTTCCCCCCAGTGCCGGGACACCCACACAAGCGCAGTGACGCTCCGCACGCACACTGCCGTACATATCCTGTGGCTTTCGACAATTCACCACAAAATGTCAAGAATGACGAAAAGCTAGCCGTGGAACGACTGCGACGCTGTATTGGTATGTACATGTGCTGCTGTCCCGCTCCCACAGCTTGCCTCTTCACTCGCTTTCCTTCCGTTATACTGCTCCTGTGCTAGGTAAATATCCTTCATCGGCAGAGATGTCGAGATCTTCTGGCTTCTCTCGTTTTTTCTAGATTTTTTGCTCTTTGTTTGGTGGAATCCGGCGCTTGTAGGCTGTCGGATTATTAGTTCTAAAGTCAGGATCTCTTCCGCCAAAAGGGCGTAACAGTCGGGGTACATTTGACTGTGTGCGTCACTTGAGTTCCTCGTTCATAAATGAAGAGCAGGTTTCCTTTAACTCAAAGTTGTGCGCTTAGGTCAAGTTTATAACCAACTTAATAATTCTACCACAACACGAAATAAATATAGTATAGCACAGTACATCTCGGCTTATAGGCCACGTATTCAAAGTCAACTAAGTTAAGCCAATATTGCGCTGATTTTAAAATGTTTCAAAACATCCTAAATTCTTATAAATAATCATTCATTTTTTTACTTTTAATAAATTTTTAATTCTCAGACCGTATCTCTTAAATGCTCGATTATATGAAAGCAAAGGGTATAAAGAGGTAGAGAGTCGCTTAGACTTACAGGCAGAATAAATTTACTATTATTAATTATATTTGCACACCACTGAGCGGACTTAATCGAGAACAGAAAGAAGCGAACCATATAGTCAAGTAGCATGGCATATGTGGGAAGGATATATAGCTTTCTCACATCTTTTGCTGCCTATGTTTTGGAATGGGCTCTGCCTGTGCGAGTGGTAGTGGTTATGGGCGATTCCGCAATGGCGCTTTCCCAGCTGGCACTGGCTATCGAAATCGCAAAAGCAATCGGAACTCGGCCGGTCGGTTGGGTCTGGTCTGGGGCACGGTGTTGTTGGTATGTTGATAGGGGTTGATTTACTGACTCTCATCCAAATTGAAGTGACTTTTGTGACAGTGTGAGCGGGGTGCTCACACACACGAGCTCGCAGCAGAACGTCTTGCACATGACACTCGGCTTAGAGGGTGGAGTCTTGTAAGTCGATTCGGCGAGGGGCTCAGGATAAGCCCGTGTCCATTACACAGCCCATTTGGCTGACTATGGTTACAAGGCCGGCCCACTGCTCGTATATAAGGGATACAATCCTGCGGTTATATTAACCAGTCAGAACGCAAAGTCATTTGCAGCAACGACGTCAACGTCGCCGTCGGTCGTAACTCAACCACCCCACAACACCACCAGCCACCACCCACCTCCCATCACCCATGCTCCCCCACCCCGCTCTCCACACACATGACAAATTTGCGGCATCAAGAAGTCGCATTTTTCTATGCCCACTCCCCTCTGGCTCGCACTCGCGCTCTCTTTTGCTCTCTCAACCCCGGTTAGTGTCCATGTGTGTGTGCGGCTAGGCCACGCCCCCGAGGAAAAGAAAACTCACCACTTTCCGAAAACCTGCGCCTGCGCTCGCTCAAATTCGAAATAGAACTCGAAAAATTGCAAGTTTCGACAAAAAAGGAGGCTTGGGGCTTTCATTTTCCTGCCTGTCGAAGCTGGGATTGTACTTAGTTCATTCTACTCGGCCATTTCAAACAAATCGGAAGTCTGCGGAACAAAAAATATTCGCGAGTATTTTATGATAAATATTATTTTTTAAAAACAAGCTGATTTTTCGGGCTCCTTAAAAAGTGTCAGGTAAGATTAAAACATATGCTTGTTTACCACGAACCGAGTTCTTTTTGTTTAAATGCCAATTATGGTGTGTAACTGACATCTCGGATGAAAATTCGGTAAATAGATGGTCCCCTTAAATGACCAGTTATTTTTTAATGCGTTCTTTCTTTTCAGTGAGAATGGACGGGTATTACAATAACAGCAGTTGCGGCTTCAACAACAGCGGCTACTCTCAGACCCAAAAAAGTGGGTCGTGTTGCAATTGCCCCGGTGGCAACTGCCCCCGGATGGAGGCGGGGGGCAACGAGGGTCGGGGCATGAGCCAGCTGGGTTGTCCAGGCGGCAGCTGTTGTCCCGGCGGACGCTGTCCGGTTGGAAAGCCACGCTTCAATCCTGACTGGCGGAATGGTGGACGCTAGCACAAAAGAGCTAGCGCTCCCCTGCCCGACAAACCAAGCGCCTATAAAGTGGACATCCACCCTCACTTCGCCCGAGTATTTTGCCGCAGAAACCATATGTAATGGACACCATTTTAGACAGTGATTTAAGATGAAGTGGATGCCTTAGTCGACTGGAAATCTGTATCTGACCAAAAACCCAACTAATTGGTGCGTCTGCAATGCAGCCGTATAATTTTAAAAACTATTATTACCTATCATCTGTAATGTAAAAAATATAGAGCTGATGCAGAATCTTTCGCGAGTAAGCAAACAAAATACGTTTATACACTTGCAGAGGGTATCATAATTTTGGTTAGAAGTGTGCAACGCAGTGAAGGAGACGTTTCCGACCCTATAAAGTACATATATTCTAGATCAGCATCACTTGCAACACGACGTTGCAGGATACTCTGTAACTTATATTCTCCAAAATTATTTATATGATGTATTCTTAATGCTCATACAAAATCCCAACTTCCTAACTTTAAAAACACCAAAGTTATGGCAGTTCCGATCAATCAGTTATATGGCGGCTATGGGATATAAACGATCGATCCTTATGAAATTTGATAGGTCGGATTGATTGGCCAAATGTAAAACCCTTAAAAAAACCCAACTTCCTAACTTTAAAAACACCAAAGTTATGGCATTTCCGATCGTTCAGTTGTATGGCATCTATAGGATATAGTCGGCCGATCCCGGCCGTTCTGACTTATATACTGCGTGCAAAGGAAAGACGGGTGTGTGCAAAGTTTCAATTCGATATCTTTAAAACTGAGAGACTAGTTTGCGAGGAAACAGTCAGACGGACATGCTTATATAAACTCAGGACGCGATCCTGATCAAGAATATATATACTTTATAGGGTCGAATGTCTCCTTCACTGCGTTGCACAGTTCTAACCAAAATTATAATATCCTCTGAAAGGGTATAAAAAGTTCAATTTTTTCAAGCAAATGCTGCGATCGTAGCGAGTGGACATATCAAACCTAGTGGCTCCAATATGCGAGCTGCAAACGAAAAAATAGAGAGCATCGTTGGTGGGATGTTTTGCCTCAAGTTCGCGAATGGTTAATTTAAAGACGTCCTGTTTCGGATTCCTTGTGAGCCATAGAATTTTTAGTTTTAGCTGTGTCGCCAAGCTGAAGTTCTTCTTGTAAAAACACAGTTTGCTGCCCATTTGGAAATCACGAAAAAAAAATTAGTATAATTTCCCGACCGAGTGATTAAAGGGAATTAGCTGCTGATAATAGATAATCTACATTCGTCTATAGGTCGCTGGCCATTAATTTCGCTCAGGGTTCATTTCGGTCAACTGTTATAAGCAACGGATAGCGAGGACTGGATCTCGGGTGGTGCCATGAGTGAACGTGTTGATTCGGTGTAGTTGCAAGGGCTCGGCTTCCCTACCTCTGTATCGTAGGAGAACTCCAAGCTACTGGTGCTCAATTTGAAAGAAAGGGTTACTATAAATAGGCCAGATGACTGTTGAGTTACTGTATCAGCAAACGCCTTTTCGACTAACGCCTGCTCAGGAGTGCACAACTGGGTCTTTGTCAATGTCGGTATTTGTTCGATGTCCCAAAATCTTCGCTGTATGAAGCCCAAACTCGTTGATTCGTCAATCGTTCCTAGCGTGCGCATTTTGCTGTCATCCATGGTCTCAAAGGATTCCCGAAGCTACCCATCCGATCACCGTATTCTGCAGAGTGGTACCGATGTCGCTATGTCAAATCTATCCTTTATTTAACAAATCGAAAAATACGTCAGCATCGATACAAATAATATTGTTTAGTTAATGGTCTAGCACGGATCTGTGCGGCTTCGTCCACATTGCCAGATAGCTGCTCAGGCAGCAAATTGTACCTACGAAAAAGTTGATGATGAGGCTTATGGCAGACGCGTCAATTTGACGTCTTACATTATGAAACACCATGTCCTTTTCGCAAACAATTTATTCAGAGCGGTGAAGTTTTTGCAAATTTAAAACGGGATTATATGGACAAATTGAAAGTAATGATCCTTTGATTTAAAAAAAAAAGTATTTTAGATTCAAAATTTCCGTTGACTGGAAAAAAGCTGGTAAAGTTTTAATTGATTTACAATAAAATTAAGAATGAACTTTGTCTGCTTACCACCTTCCTGAGATAGATTCGTCTTCTGCAAGATGCTGATATCGTTAATTTAAAGCTTCCGCGCTTTCTTGCCACATGGAAATCGATTTTTATCATTGCCAAAAGATCAGTCTCTACATCTTGATTGCAGTGACCGTATCGTTAGGTGAGCACCATAAAGTGGCGGAAGGATGAGAAATTGTAGATATGCTAAAAAGGAGCGCTATATTGTCGAAGAATATTAAGTAAGGGTTGTCATAAGCTCGACTCAGATTTTCTACTGCTTTCGTATATTTATGATTTGCTACCGGAAACGCCTTGACTGTACCCAATTCTTCTTTTTCACATTTGACAATCGTAGATCGGCGTCAATTAAGCTTTTGATCATTTAAGTTTTTGAAATCTTCCTAATCATTTCTGACACATTCATGTTGTAACCACACTTTATATTTATAAGGGAAAAAAATTGTTCTAATTTGAGAAAACGCTTGGTAAAACTATGTGAAGAAGGGAAAACGCTTTGGTAAATTGGTGGCAATTTGGAATTGGTTGGTAAAGCACTCTCCTCTGTACAAGGAAAAAAATTTTAATTCATTAGGTTACTGTGAGTCTAAAAGATAGCCTCCCAAATTGAAATGGAAATAAGGGACAAGTTTAATAGGGATCTTCATGGTGACACTGTACGCAAAAATTTGAGGAAGGAAGGCAATAGTAGCCGATGGCAGTGCCTTATTTTGACGCATTTCTTAACAATAAAATTTTTTTATTTTCAGGCGGTTACTTTTTTGGTGCTTAGATATTTGTAGATTTCACATATTTATGGCAGAGGGTGTGCATTTTAAGCCCCCCTTGGTGTCGAATTTATGAACCCCTCAGTATAAACGAAATGTTGACCGGCTAATCAATGAAAATGCTGTTGTGTGTTAACATAGCTCATTTATTAAATTGTATTTTTTAATTTTCGCATGCCGTTATATTATGCTTTCTATCTCACACACTAACAATAAATATATATATTTTTATTTATATGATTCTTTTCAGTTTTAATGTTGGTTGTTTAGTTAGGGCCCCGTTTTTAGTATGGTTAGAAACTGTGTTTATTCACTTTTGGATGTACATTAAAATGGTCCTTACTCTCTTCCCTTATGGTCGTTGTGTTTTAGTGTGCAGTAAATGTATTCGAAAACCAAATCATTTTATTTGAAGTATTTGGTCTCAACACGTTTATGTCAAAAAAAGGAAATTATACAGGACCATAAAATAGGACTTCGTAAAAGATGCAAGACTAAAGTGTTTATTTTCTAAGACCTTAAAAAGTAACAAAGAAGTAGTAAGACATCCATAACATTTTAATTTAAATGAAGGGGTCGGTAGACGGTTAGAGTGGCTTGGAAATTCTTTTTTAGGGGTATATATACCAATTTAGAAAATACATTTTATGATTGGTATTTTGAACTGCAAGAGTGATGCATGTAGAGGCGTAACATGCATGCAAGATATTTTAAAGTACATTTTTAATTTTTAAAAGCCTTCAACTTTATAATTAAATGAAATTAAGCTATTTAATAAAGAAGTAACCACTCTCGAAATAGCTATGTAAAACTTAGAACATTGAATTTCGATATTTATTTTAATCCGCGATATCACAAAAAAACAAGCTTTAGAATCGAAAACTAAGTAGGCAGAAATATGCTAAGATAAGTCAATTTTAACATATTTTAATTAATGGCCAGTAGTATTTATTTGTCATATAAGCCAATGTGCTTCCCCTAAGCCGAAGCTTGTGAAATAAATTTCTTACCATATGCCTTAAAGGACTTACAAATGTGCATACAAATTTGGATCGCCCTAAGGTACATACATTTAACGCAAAACCAACTCGAATTTGTAAACTCGGTAAATAAACGCAGTTTCTAACGTTTTCATACTGTAAACGGGGCCTAGTACAGGTTGCTCTCGTGTTTGTTGTGTTGTTTTCTCGTGCTGCATTTAAATTGCTAAGTATTCCTTAAGTAACAGATCTCTTACTGTTTTGAAATGTAACATATTTGTTCAATGAAACGTTTGTAGAGAATATAAAGTTACATATTCTCTGGCTTCGGTGCTTCTAAAGTCTTTGGATAATAAAGATCGGGATTTGCTTTAACAGGCTGGAGAGACTGGAATTGCATTTGCACTGTCACCCGTACATATGTAATGTTTGTAAATTATTATCAATGCAACATGTAGATTTTCTACAAAATACGGAATGTTTTTCTACCATGGCTACCAATATATTTTTCTAATTTCTTTGTCTTATTATTATATATTTTCATTATTTCAGTTTATTATTTACAATATTGAAATATTTAGGTTTTTTTGTTGTAATTGTTGGAAGGAATGGAATGGTTTCAAGCTCGAAACTGAAGTTACAAGGGGCGAAAGTTTTTTCAGAAAAATGAAATATAATACAGTTTATTCTCTTTACTTTTTATCCATTTTTTATTTTGAAATACATATTTAATTTAATTGCAATTTAAAATATTGCTTTTACAATTTATGACCCATTAATTACATTCTTTGCTTTGCTCTTAGTATTTAAAAGTAATGTTGAGAAAATCTACTTGCCTTTAGTTAAGTGTGAGGTTGTAGTGTTGTGTTCTAAGACGTGTTTAGTTCCCGCAAAAGGTGCGGGGACATCCTTCGTGATGTGTTTGGTTTTATTTGCTAAAAAGGTGTTTAAGTTATTTATATAATTGATATAACTGGCGGTGCTTGGTTTGATTATTATTGATTTAGCTGTTGTGGGCTGACGGTTTCCTGCACACCAATACCGGAAACTTTAAGCTTTGAAGTTTGAAGTGGGTTTTTGTGCCCTGGCCACACTGGTAGGCTGCTAATACGTACTTCGAAAGTCTACACTTAAAAGTCAATAATTATAGAATTTAACTATAACTATAAATTGTCAATGCTTCCGATGCATAAATGATATTTATTATGGTTCAACTCGGTGTTTAATAAATAGTTATAAATAAGAATATAAATTATATTGCAACTTGGTTTGTGTACATACAAAATTGGAATTAAACTATGTAAAATAAAGTATAAAATCATATAACAGCCTTTGGTTGAAGTTAGTTTAAGATGCTTTGGATAAAATTATTGGATCGAAAACGAAATAAACGTTTTAAGCCTAACTACTTTTAACATGTACAAGTAAAAACAGTTATATAATCAGCTTTAAATTGTGTACTTTTACATTCCATCAGATTTTTCAATTGTCCATTGAATTTGTTCGCAGTTGACTGTAGCACGCTTGGCACACCCTAACTGGTTTTAGTATTCGAAGGCGTGATATTTCCGACTCAAACCGACTGCACTTGTTGCAGAAAACTTGACCACAATTCCGACAATGATGTTTTCTCTCATAAAGTGTAAACCTAAAATGAATAAATGGTTAAAAAATAATTAAGCTTAATATGAGTGTATCGGTTCTTAATGTTAATATAACATTAGCGACATTCAAATTTTTGGTTTTTGTTGTATATATGACAAGTTATGTTAAATACCTCTGCTCGCCAAGTTTAAGAAATTTTCTTTGAGTATTTACAAAGATATCATACATCCCTTCGCTGTCAAACAAACGTATGCGTATCCAAAAATCAGGAAAAACATAATTGCAGCAGGTCGGGGAATTCTTTTCAAATGTTCGAAGAAAACTTTCAAACCTAGTTAAACAGATGTATTTCAATAGGAACAGACCCATTTAAAATGTTAATTTAGAATGTAAACAGTAGGTTATCTTTGTAGTTGCAGAAAGGCAAGCCGAAGTTTATTACATAACGACTACATTTCGATTTATATGCCTACATCACTAAAAACAATGAAGCTATGTCGACTTTGAACAACAACAAAAATGAAAAACAAAATAGTTATAATTTTTTTGAATATTATTTTCTGATTGTTCCTATGGGAGCTATATGATATAGTCGCCCGATCCGATGAATACTAATTTCTTGGGTAAATGAATATGAATGCATATGAACTCCATGAAAAGACAATTCCTGTACAGGTATGCAAAGTTATATTTTGATCAGTCCAGTTTTTGTTCAATTTTATTGTATTCTAGCATTATACTTTTAGTCAAAAGTTTGCAACGCAGTGATGACATTTCCGACCCTTTATTTGTATATCGATCTACCCATGTAGATTCTTTAAATATTTACAACAAATTACTCGTAAACGACAAAGGAAGTAGATTAGTATAACTATGGTGAGCTTACAAACTCTGTAAACCTGTAAAATTTGTATTTTTTTTACTTTTAAAAACTATTGCAGTTTACGATGTAAATTAAAATGATACAAAGCTATTAAAATATATTTCAATTTCCCATGTTATTTTTCTTAAGATTTTTTTTTAGAAATTCCAGTAATTTGTTATTTTGAACTCACTTGACATGACATTTGACACACTGATCGGCTCCCTCATCTTTCAGCCAATGATCAGCCACTCCGCGACCCGGCTGTTCCGTAACGCTCCACGAAAAGATACGCCCGCGTGCATCGCCTTTAATTTATTGCAAATATAATATGTGAATTAAATGGTTTCTTTATTGCATGTTTGTAATGTAACACTTACCGACATATAAGATTTTGTGATCTTTGGATACCGTTAACGCTGTAATGCTAGCGGGTTCGGCGTTGTCCTTTCGATCATATGCTGTATGCATGGTCAGTTTTGAGCGAAACATTAATTGACGCTGCCATCGAAAGCCTAAAAATAACGAAATATCCTTAGTATTTCTTAATTAAACAATTTTTTTTGGCCAACAAGCCAAAAACCAATGCTTCATTATTATAAAATATATATAAACTTAAAAAAAGTTAGCTTTTTTTATCAAAAAAATCGATTTAAACAAATTTTAATAATTTTAGTCACCCGCCCAGAGAATCCTTCGATTTCTTATAAGATTCCTATATCCATATTGGAAATAATTTTTTTCCAAACGGGAAACCCGAAAACAAGTAGGTACTGTTTTGATAAAAACATACCTTTTCTTAGAATCTGATCGCCCTTATGCCTGTCATGGTCTATTACAACGAATCCGTCAGTCAAGCTTGTGTCGGATTTACTTGGCCTTATTGCATGTTCATCTAAAGTAAAAATAAGATGTTAGTTTACAAACATGACAAACATGTGAGCGTTCTTACCGTCATTGGATTTGGGATCAGAGCTGCTTTCCTTCGCTTCTACTGTAGCCGATTTCATTTCATGCAGGGACTTCGCTCCCGATATGGAGCTTTTTCTGTTCTCACTTTGCAGCTCCGCTGTGGCACCTGCCTCAGCTGATTTACTTGATTCATGGCTGTGCTGTGAAGCCTCTGAAATGCTGCTTTCCGAAGCGGACTTGACAATCTCTGCGAATTAAATATTTGATTAAGTGAATAAAAGAATAAAAAACGCTAAGCTCGACAACATTAAGTTTATATACCCTTGCAGATAAAACCAAATGTATTATTCAAATAATCTTTGACTCTCGATTTCTATGCGTACTTGTTTAAAAAAAATGATGTAATGACACTTTTCCTATTATCTTTCTATTCATTTTCCGATCTTTCCAATCGTAGCTCAATTATAGAATCGCTCGATTTTAATAATATTAAAAAGTATTTCTGAAATTGTTTAAAAGGACTGTATATGAAAATATTTACAAAACCCGCCAAGATATAATTTTTTCCGGTAATTTTCCGATAAAGAAAACTTTAGGAAAGTTTCATCCATATAGATTTAAAACTAAGAGACTATAAAACGAAATATGCCAATTTGGCCAGATTTTACTATATATGCGTAAATTTAACTTTACAGCATTTATATACCTTTCTTTAGACAGAGCAATTGTGCATTAAAATTAGGAGGTGGTCTTGCTTATATTGACTCTTTGGCTAATGCCAATACTTTCTGGCTAAAAGATTAGTAACCTTAGCTAGGTATAACAATTGTTTCAACTAACCCAACTCTTCCTCTGACTGTGAAAGGCTTTTTATTTGCTTAATGAGACTTATTTTGTCATCCTTGCCATTCTCGCCTTCTAAAGATGCGTTGTCGGGCTTGTCCTGTGAAGACACCTCCATGCCTCGCTTCAACTTGCGATCGATGGGCACCTGTGTGTGCTCCAAGGACCACATCTGCGTGGAACGAGACATTATATTATTCCATTTATTTATAAATTTCGGTACACTTACCCTTACCACACCGTCAGTTGAGCCAGTTATGACTACATTTTGCTGGTCCCACTCGCGGATCTGCGAGAAAGCCACACATAGGATCTGCTGCATGCGATCCGCACTGCCCACACATGTGTTGACCATAGCCAAGGCATCGCCATTAATGGACCACACATGGAGCCAAGTGGCCGAACAGGTGGCAATATCCCCAGTCAGCTCATTAATGGCCACGGCAGCCACTACACCAGCATGTCCCCGCAATTGGCGCACGAAGGTGAATCGCGTCATATCCCAGACGATGGCAGTGCCATCCCGCGATCCGGACACTATCACATTGTAGGCAGCGCTAGCTGCTAAACAGGTCACAGCATCGGTGTGCCCGTGCAACGAGTGCTTGACGACGAGGCTCTTTCGGTTCGCGTCGAACTTCCAAATTGTCACTACCGAACTGGTGCCAGCCGTGACAATCATATTGGCATTGGGACAGGCGCAGGTCAGGATTTCTCCCGAGTTCTGGGCGGATGCCTCGGACACGAAGGATGCCCGGTCCGTGTCGTAGAGTCCTACGCGAAGAGAGTGGTCGGCAAAGCCCCAGGCTATGTACTTCGTGTACGAGGGCGGCATCATTACCTTATTCTGCTCCACGGCAAACACCGTCTTGTCGGGCTGTAAAATTTGACCCACTGGTCCTTTCAGCTCCTTGATGGGCTGAAGACTGGGCTTGAGATTGTCCAAGTTGTGGAAGAACAGCCGATCGGTTTGTAGTACTGTGCTATTGCCCTGAATCAGAGAAGTAGGGTCGATTAGCGCAGAGTGACGAGAGCTGCCCATCTTTTTGGCAGGATGCGCCTTCTTGAACAGCTGCTTTGGAATCTGTCCAAAGTTGTTGATAAAGCCAATGGTGGCGTTCTTCTTAAGTGGATCATCAATGCTGCAAAATTTAAGATAAAATAGTTATAATTTGTTATTCAATAAAAATACTCAAATATTATAGAAGTTTATGATTACTTGTAGATGTCCACATTTCCCTCATAGAAAAGATGATGAAACACATTGACAGTATCAACTGCGGCTGGTCCCTGTTGCTTGCAGCCAAAGATTAAGTCAATCCACTGAAAATAATAAAATTAAATAAAGTCACCCGACTGATTAACAGCAATTTTTGCTCACCAGATGTAAATGCTGGCTGACATAGTCACACTCTAGAGCGCTCCTATGAAGCCGAATGAACTCTCTGGGATCGTGCTTGGCCCATGGCGGCAGGATAACGTGGTTGAGGGTTTCACCATTCTGCTTGGTACCCAGATCAAAGCTGTTGAAATTGCTGAGGAATTCGGGCAGGTAGAAAAACTCCGGGATGAGCTCCTTGACGTCGGCCATGTTTAGCTTGGAGGCTGACAGCCAGGCCTCCTTAATGCTGTGAAACATGCGGTCCGCTAGGTCAAAGTGGCCACCCTGTAGTTTAAGGAATGGCTGCGAGAAGGGTTCAAGACGCACCAGGTACGAGCATACGATCATCGCGGAACTATAGTGTGTGCCGTAGTGGTATGGCGGCGTCTCGCCGTGCGGGTCGTCCCACTCTTTGAAGCGCTTTTGGAACTGCTCCAAACGTTCCTCGGATTGGGCACCCATGGGTCGCGAAAAGTCTCGAAAGGTCTTGGGGCTGGTAAGGTCCAACTCTTCAGAGTCGTAGTCGGCCAGAATCCAGGGAAAAACCGGGTATTGCATAAGGTCATTATAGCTTCGCCCGGCCAGGGTGTTTAGGTGCATCAGGTACTGGAAGTTGGAGATCTCGCCGCGTACCCAGCGCTGGGTCACTGAGGTCTCGCCGATCAGACCGCTGAATATGCCCGCCGTCTGCTCCACACTGGCCGTGCGCTTCTGTCCCGCCACGGACTGCTGAGCGTTGTCGTTCAGTGCAGTGGCCAGAGCCAGAAACCGCTGGTTCACTTTGTTCCGCACCTTGCGCGGAAAGCTCAGAAGATAGTTGCGTCCATCCTCAGAGAAGACTTCTAGTGCGATGGGTTGAAGAAGGTAGCGACGTTTGTGCACCTCACGGATTTCCTCGTATGCGAACTTAGAGCACTGTCTGAGCTTGTGGCTTACGGCTCGGGAAGTGGTCGAAGAGGTTCCTCCCGAGTTAGGGATAATCGGCTCATAAGCTCCTGGAGGCAGGGTGTCAATGTCTCGAATCTCGCGGTTTTTCAACAACGTAAACCCATCCACAATGTAACAATGCTCCTTGCCAAACAGTAAAAGTCCCTCAAAGGTATCCAATCCCTGCACCCTTGCACATCGGAACATAAAGCTAATTTTCTCCTGCTCCTCTAGTAGGCGTAAGAAGGTCTCATTATCGCTGGTCATCGAGGTGTCCTCCTCCTCTTCGTCATCCTCTGGGGCATTGCCATCTACTGACTCCTGTGGACAGGGTACTGATCCGTGGCCCATAAGTTTCGGTAAAGCAAGAGGCGGTGGCGTGGATGTGGAACTGCTTGGCTCTAAACGATGTGAATGCACTGCTTCTAGCGAACTCTGCTGATGGATCGCATGCTGTTCCGCCGCCTCCGCCAGGATGCGTGGCTGTTGCGGACCGTGCAGAGCATACGTCTTGCTGTCAAGACTGGAAGCTACCTTGTACTTCAGCTGACGGTTGTCGGCAATCTCCAATTCCGGTCGGTATGGATAGTGCAGGTAAAAGAGATCATTGCGCATCGTCTTCTTGCGCATTCGGTGGGGTCCCTCAGTGGTGTCCATAATCCATTTATCCAGTGAGCAACTGCCGGTCGGACCCCACAGTCCGCGCTCACGGGTAAGCTCCGTTTCCGACTGAACCCAGTCTTGGTAGACGTAGCGCTGAGTGTGCTGCAGCATCTGCTGGTACTGTTTGGCGCGCAGATCCAGCAAATCTTTCACAAGCTGCACATGGATCCCAGTAGACTCATAGGCGGCATCGCGACTTAAGGTCGACCTGGTTCGTACCAGCTCCTCTTTCTTGGCCTTAGTGCGGCTAGTCAAGCGAGACAGTCCTCCGGTGACCTTCTGAATCTTTGACTGGATTTGGGTGTGCAGTTCCCAGGGTGCGCGGTAGGAGGCCTTGCGCTCCGCCTCCACATAGTTAAACCATAGTTTGGAGGCCAGCTCCATTACCTGTTCACGCGTGGTCTGGAGATCAGGTGCCTTGGAGTTCGGTGGTGGGGATGTGAGGGAGACCTTGAACACCTCCTCAATGGCGGGCTTTTTGCAAACGTATAGCTCCTCCCAAACGCGAAAGGCAGCGCCAACGATCAGGTTCCGACCCTGCAACTGGTTGAGATCTTCGTCTTTGGGCTCTGCCGTTTCCGTCTGCGGATTTACGTGCCAGGTGGTATTTCGGCTGGTGGCCGGCTCCAAGATAATTTTCATGTCCGCTGTCAGTTGCAACAGGCAGTAGGTGAGGCATCCAATGAATTCCAGCTCGTGGTTGCCCGCCCCGAAAATTAGCAGGCGGTGCTGTATGATTTTGTGCAACGCTTCCAGCACACTGATCTGGTCGGCCCGAGAGTCGTCGGTTGGGCGGGAGAGCAGGAAGAGAATGCTGCGATTCAGTGAGTGGTGTAGATGCTCTAGTGATAACGACGAGGACCGCCGCTTGGCTTGCACGATCAGCTTGATAACAAAATCGAAAATGTCGTGCGGATTTCGGGCGAGGCAACCCTGCCACAGCTTATCTACGATGCGGGCGGTTAAGTAAAACACGTTTGGGGCGATGTGCTGCATCTGGCTCTGCAAGAGAGGTACCAGAGGTAGGGCCGCCTGTTCGCCTACAAGGACATCTGCGGCCAGCAGGTGATCCATTAGGGCGATGATAATCTGTGTCTGGTACTGCACCTGCAGGGGTAGTTCCGCCGACTCTGGTGCTGCGTCCAGTACGAGATCGATTACCGGGGTAAGCTTGCCCTGCATGTTCAGGCCTAGAGAGTCCACGACAATAACGCGCAGAAAGTCGATAATACAATTGCACACCGGATGAGCGGTTAGCTTGGGCTGCGGGGCTCCATGCAGGCTCTCCGTTAAGGGTAAGGCAAAGCTGCTTCCTGTATTATCCGTGGGGGTGGAATTTCCACTGTTCGGTTCAGAGTCCGCAGGACGAGACGCCAATGGAAACAGCACCGCTACCAGAGAAGTGATCACATCTCCAGCCATCATCACTGGCGCAAAGTCGCTAAGGTTTTGGTACAGGCTGAAAAGGAGCTGGATGATTGTCTCCGGGTGGCTGTGCAACCAGGCGGCGCATTCGCCGCCGTGAACAATCCCGCGCACCATAGCCAGGAGGACGCAGACGCCCTCGGGACAAATATTGAGCTTTGGCAGCTGCGTGTTGGCGGAGACGGGAGCACCCCAGAGAAAAGACCAGACGCGGTCTAGGTCGAACTTGGTGTGCTCGGTAGCCAGCACCTTCACAGGCTGTCCCATGATCAGGGCGGTCATTAGGAAGTACAACTCCGGAACGTCTAGGTGATGATTCATCAGCCATTCCAGCAGTTGGAAACCTGAAATAAGGTGGAAGGGTAAATAAGCTTTTTAACATGGCCTGTGCACACTCTTTTGTATTAAAGAATGTGCCCGGCAATCAGCTAATATCACTAAATGCTTGGGCAGTGCACAAAGTGGGAGCCAGGATGTGTGTAAAAGATAGATCATTTTCGGAGATACTTTTTTACAAATCCCCATTGTTACTGGTTTATTAACTATGTTTAAAGTAAATTACTTTAACCACGAAAACGGTAAATCAATTAAAAAATAGTAACAGTAAACATATATAGTTTAACATACACAAATATACGCAAAGATATTGTGTTTTACATTTTTAAAAATTCAGTTTTATTTTCGGATGATGATTGAAAAATATTTCGGACCGACATAGTTTAATTTTTATACTCTTGCAGAGGGTATTATAATTTTGGTCAAAAGTGTGCAACGCAGTGAAGGAGACATCTCCGACCCTATAAAGTATATATATTCTTGATCAGGATCACCTCCTGAGTTGATACAAGCATGTCCGTCTGTCCGTCTGTCTGTTTCTACGCGAACTTGTCTCTCAGTTTTGAAGATATCGAATTGAAACTTTGCACACACCCTTCTTTCTCTTGCACGCAGTATATAAGTAGGAGCGGCCGATATCGGCCGACTATATCCTATAGCTGCCATATAACTGATTGATCGGAAATGCCATAACTTTGGTGTTTGTAAAGTTAGGAAGTTGGGATTTTCTATTTATATATGGCCAATCAATCCGACCTACCAAATTTCATAAGGATCGGCCGACTATATCCTATAGCTGCCATATAACTTCGGTGTTTGTAAAGTTAGGAAGTTGGGATTTTCTATGGGTTTTATATTTGGCCAATTAATCCGACCTACCAAATTTCATAAGGATTAAGAATCGGCCGACTATATCCTATAGCCGCCATATAACTGATTGATCGGAACTGCCATAACTTTGGTGTTTGTTAAGTTAGGAAGTTGGGATTTTTAAGAATGCATCATATGAATGCATCATATGAATAATTTTGGAGAATATAATTTACAGAATATCCTGCAAGGGTATTTCAACTTCGGCTCCGCCCGAAGTTAGCTTTCCTTTCTTGTTTTTACTTATACGCTTTTCTAAAAACATCCATCGCCGAAACAGAGGCCTATTTCAGGGACAACAACAATTAACACGGGTTCTTATCATGCGATTCTAATGTGAACCTTTTTTTTATAAAACAAACTGTAAGGGAGACGATTTGTAAATCCTCAAGTCGATACCGGAAACGTTTGCTCACACAAGCAAACTGTCTGGCAAGACATCTCGCAGACGACATCCAGCAGACTTATGGATTCTCGGCCGTGACGGACACGGTCGTCTTTTGCCTTTTGTCCGGCTATGACCACACCTGATTTGCTCAAGAATGAAGCACCCGCTACCCGCTTTTTTTGGGATCTTTAGAAATAATTTGTCAATACACGAAAACAAGGTCCACCCTTGTGTAGCGTGTTCAACAATCTAAAAAAAAAAAAAAAACATTATTTGCTCACCTGGTATGTTCAATGCTGCTGGTCTCACCTCTCCTGCAATCTGGGTGGGGAGATGTTGTATGGTGTTCTGTGGGGTGGCTACAATGACTGTGCCGGTGCCATTCGTCGGACGCTGGTTAAGCTGCTGAGCACCGAGGCCCATCATCTTTCGTTGTGAAACCATCTCCGTGAAACGTAGGTAGCCGCCGTTGTGGGTGGCATCCCGAAAGCGCACAAGAAAGCTTTCGTTGGCACAGACCACGACAAGGACGCGCACGGCAATAATGACAGTGGTAAAGTGGACGTGCGGCTGCATGAAGAGTAGCAGCCAATCCATGCCCAGGGTCTTGGAAATGTCGTCGCAGATTACATAGTTCACGGTGTTACGGGGCGTGAAAAGGAGTCCGTGGAGTAGCGAGAGGCAACGGTTGCGCAGGTAGATATTCTGAGCAACGCCTCCATCTTGGTCTTCGATAGGACTCTTCATGCTGGGTAGGAGCACAGCGCGTTCCATGCCTCCGCTATGAGTCAGCGGTAGCTTGGCCGCCACATACTGGCCAAAAAGAAGCAGATCGGTGTGCCTCGGCTGCCCGCCCAATAGAGTCTCCAGCAGACTGAATAGGATCTCTCTTGTGGAGTGGTCTTGGATTTGAGTGATAATGTGCAGCAATTTGACAAGCAGCTGCATGTCTCGCATGATCTTAACGTTCTGTTTCTTGTCGCTGGACTCCACCACCAACTCCAACAGATGTTCCAGGAGGGAGCGCAGCAGTCCGTTAGGTGAGTTATGCCAAATCTCCAAATCACACAACAGGTCCTGGAAAGCCGTCACATTTGGAATGGCCGACATGTCCTGACCGCTGTTTACCGTGCCGACCAGACCGAAGGTCAGGTGCAGAATGTGCGAGTTCAGCAGATGCTTTTTCTTTTTAAAGAACATTCCCAATGTTTGGTAGCAGCGTTTTCTGTCCATCTCTGCTTGAGCGGCACGATTGCTCCTCACCACGCAGGTCAGGGCCTTCACTCCTGCGTATAATGACTCCACGTCTTGAGCCATGGCGATGATGCCGAGGAGCACATTGCAGCCGCCCACAGTGTCAATCATGGCAGAGACGGGATGCGGACTGAACACTCTTACACCCAGATAACCGACGACCACGCCGCCAAGGGAGCGACCAGCGCCTGCCAAATGTCCTGCGGAATTGTGCAATATTCTAGAAGAACAGGGAGATATTTATGAGACTATAGACTACCTCCCCAGCTTTTACTTACTTGATGGGCGTGGCGTTCTCGTGAGAGTTCATATTCAGCTGCTTGGCAATGCTTTTGTTGTCCGCCCGGCTGTACACCTTGCGGATTTTGACAAGCGTCAGCTTGGACACCGCTTTTGCGTTAAGACCCAGGAGGACGCGATCCTCGGGCACCAGCGGCGCCAACGACTCCGACTGCTTCCCCACCTGCGGAGCCTGCAGCGAACCCATGTAGTGGGGTCCTAGTTGATAAATGGTCTGAACCGTCTGCTGGGTAAGCACATCTTCGATCAGGTGACAAACGCCTTGCTTCCAACACAGACGAGAGTAGCGCCGCCATATCGGCGGCGTACCGATGTATCCAAAAATCTGTGTGGCCGACGTTAGACTGGCATTGCCCGCTGCCGGATGCTGGGCGATGTAGTGAAGCTTCTGGGTATGCATGGGCACCCCATCCAAATAAAGAAACAAACTCGAATTTTTCAGCACGGCTCGGTTTAACACAACGACTAGGTTATGCCACTGGCCCTCGTGCAGAAGATCAGGGCACCATATGCGAGCGATGCCGTCATCCGATCCTTCGGGTTCCCAGTCACCAATACCTGGAGAATTGGAATCATTAATAGTGACTTAAAAAATGTTTAAAATGTAAAATTTATGAACATTCATATAATTAGTCGACATTTAATTATGTATAAGTTTATCAAAAACCATTAAAAAAGGATAAAAGCCTGATATCCAAAAAAATTTTAACAGCCGTTCTATATGATATAAACAGGAAGTATCAACTCGCACCAATGTAATTATGGAACTCTGGATTTTTATTTTAAAATTGTATTTGCTCATTATATTTTGTATCATTTAAAAACGATCTAGTAAAAGTCTTCTTCGGTATACTTTTTTAAATCAATTATATTAATCAAGTTAAGTAAATACCAAAAATAATTAAAATTATGTTTCTAAACACGCTGTCTCAGTTAATAAATTAATTTTAATTTGCATAATATTCTCGTTGTAGTCTAATCTAAAAATTCGTACAAATAAATGTACTCGTAATTGTAACGTACATATACATACATATGCTGTCTATATGCATTAAACAAACTGATGATGTTAACTTACTTTTTCTGGGCGTGACCAAAGTCTCTTGCGTGGACACGACGATCGCCTTGTCCCGCGCCGAAAGCAAAATGGACAAACATGCCAGGTTTTCTTCACGGGGATTGTGAATGGTCCTTACCAATGTAAGAAGCCGTACACAGTGTGGGTCCGTCTTGGGATCTGAGAACTTTTCTACACAGAACCACGTGGAGTACGTAAGACCTGTCTGTGGCGGAAAGATGCGATCGCCGGCCCCAATGCCTCCAATGGTGTTTGCATCAATGGTACCGCCGGCAGTGGCCGTCGCCTGGGGCGCCAGTGAGGGCAGATAAAGGCAGCCGAAACCCTCTGCAGACATGTCTAGTTCGACGAAGGGAGGCAGTGTGCTCGATCCGTGGGCACGGAAGTCGCGCGGCGTTGTCATGGACACTAGAGTCTTGATTCGAGTCAGGGGAACGGGTCCGCCCAGCCTGTATGGCTGCTGAAGATCTATATCCGCACATGAGAGCGGCTCGCCCAAGCGCAGGAACTGGCGTAGCTCGGTGGGCTGCAGTGCCTGGGCGGCCAGACGCTCGAGAATATACTGCATGGGCACGTGCAGAGGATGCGACTCCTCCGCTAGCGCTCTGCGAGTCAGCTTGAGCAGCTTCTCTGCCAGTCCATGATCGCACATGATCTGCTGGTTGCGCTCGCTTCGCACTAAGGACTTGATGATTTCGCTGAGGTATACCTGCAGCTGCACCGCCTGCAGAGGGGCTGAATCGTACTCTACGGCGGGCAGAAGCTGAAGCATGCAGAGCACCACACCCGGGTGGACTATCCGCGGCTCGGGACTGGGCTGCGTGAGATTCAGCTGGCTAGGGTGCACCGGGGCCGCCAACTCCTTGCTCGGCGATCTCAACGGCGCTGGTGGATCGCTGACGAGCGTGATTATGCCGCTTAGGCTTGGCGCCTCAAAATTGTCCAGCGCAATGCTATAGAGCAGCCGAAATACCACGCACACGTAGGATAATGGGTAGGGAACGTCATCAGAGAAACTAAAGGAATAAAAATGTTTTATTTGTACGAAATTTTGGCATAGAAACCTCTTCTGGGTATAGAAACTTCGGCTTGTCAAAACTCACTTCATTTCTCGCTGATGTAGTCAACTAGGGCTAAATAAAATGTTTTATGGAGTCTTCCATCTCACTTACCTGACGCTTAGAATGTCTCCGCTGAAAATCTCATGGTAATACTTGAGTAACGACTGCTGTGGCTCGTAGACACCCGTGAAATCCTGCAAGGCGGATGATCCTCCAAAGCATCCCAGAAGACGAAGAGTGTCGCACAACGAGCTGCTGCTAATCTCCTGGTGAAAGAACTTGGCGTTGGCCGGCTCAAACCTCATAGCGGTGGCCAGGGTCTGGAAGACTATTTGCAGTAGCAGAATGAGATCCTGTTGTGAAATGTCTGGTTGCGGCTGGGCCATACTGCCGTCCAGAGACACGAATACACTGGTGACGTAAACAAAGCCTCCCACTTTGCGGAAGACGGTCCGTGTGCGGTGAGAGTCCTTTAAGCATCCCAGCAGCATATTTAGTATCTGGATTTTGAACTCCACCTGCAATGGACTGACGCTGTGCATCAGTGACAGTATGTGCAGCATGTCGTCGTCTCCACCGGCGGACAGAATCAGCTCCCTAACGATTCCGAGAGCCTGCGGCCTGCAGTGCCTAAACTTCACCAGCTCATGGACGCACTTGGCGCCACTGTACTCACGAAAGAGTTGGGCATTGTTGCTGGCTCCACCGCCCAGCAGCATGGTGAGAGCCTCCAGAACATATTTGCCGAGCGTGTCCAGCAGGTCTTCTTCCGTGTCCCCATCCAGCTCCACCACTACTGACTCGTCGCCCTTGGTAATCTGCAGCACATGGGCTGAGTAGCGTGTTAGGCAGCCGACGAAGATCTCCAGAATACCCACTTCGCGATAGACGTCCTTAAACACGGTGTTGTGCCGCAGAATGTTTAGAAGTGTCTTTAGGCATAGAATGCTGCAGGGCGTCGACTGATTATGTTTGAGCAGAAGCGAAAGGCTGATCAGTTCCTTGCACGGTACAAAGTTCAGCTGAAAGACGATGAACTCCAGCAGGTCGTAGAATTTTTCCTGGATTTGTGGGCTTTTCAGGTGGATACGCTCCGCGAACGTACTAATCGTGTGCTCGGGCTCGAGTATGAAATAGTTGGCGTTCTCTGAGTGGTAAACCCGAGAAATAGCGTCTAGGATTGTGCAACAGAGTGCGGGCGTCGTAGACTTTATAAAGACGTTCTGTAATACTTGGAAGGCGTACACATTTCGCACACACGTCTCTCGAGAAGTGGCCTGTGGAAGCTGGAAGTTCTGCAGCTTAAAAGCCGTGTTGAACTGAGAAGCTGGCGGTCGGAGCTCGTAGAATCCACACATGCACAACGATGAAATCATCAGAACAAGGTTACGAATAGCCGCTTGAATCTCCAGCGACTGACTACGATTGTTGTCAAATCTGAAAATAGTTGAGTAAGAAGTAAGTTTAAACACAAATAGCAGGTATTCTGCTTACTTGAGCAGAAAATCGCTTAGGAACACGTAACCCTGGGAGGCTCGAAAATCATCCATTAGTATTTGGGACACCTGACTAGAGTCCTTGAGAAAGCAGAACACGGTGACAAACATCTCGACGATTTCAAGAGGGTTTCCAAATGTCAGGCGTTGCATATTGTCCACGCACAGCGCCATGCAGCCCTTGGCTAAAAAGATTGTTTCATGGTTTTAAATAATAATTTTAATAAGAGAAAAGCGTGCGTTCATTTTTTAATAAGTAACTTACAATGTATGTAGCTAACGACGGCGTCGGTCAGGCCGTTCCTTGATATTGTTGTCAGGATCTCAGCAGCATTCTTGCGCCACACAATGTTGTGGATGGGACATGGGGAAGTAATGGCCGAGAATAGCAACGTCAAGTCGTCCATGCGGGAAAGTTCCTCGGCGGGATAAGGGTATGAGCAGAGCTTCACCAGAAGCTGCACAAACACCTTCTGCAGGAGAGTGCGCCTTTCGTGGGCGTTAAATTCACTCGCTGTTCCTCCGTCTGCTGTTGGCTCATCGTCCTCAACTATTGGCAGGTCGAAGAACAAATACAAGCACTTCACAAGAGTCGAGGGAACTGCTGCGGCAGTCATTACCTGAAATGGCAACAAGAAACAGTTACGAGGTTCTACAGGGTACAGCATTCGAAGTGTAACCAACTATAGGCCGCTCGCGCAGCTGATGCCAATGACAGTTTAGAGTATTGTTTACAAGCGCGTTAAAGCATTTGGTAGCATTGCAAAACGTTATGAAGGTGGTTATCAAAATCAACGTCACGTGAGATGGTTCAAAAAGTGAAGAGGCGACCGGAGCGAAATCCCCGACAAAGTGCCAATTAAACGGCGAATGAACTGAAAATATCAAGCATTCGTCGCATACTAAAAAATTATTTCAAGGTTAATCCTCACAAGATCCAAAAAGAGCATGATTTTACATCGATTTAGGAACAAGTCAGACTTGAGAGAGCGAAGGTGTTGCTTCCTTTGCCCGAAGCGGTCCAAACATTGTGTTTTTAAAGTACTTAATTTTTAGGATATAATAATATGTTGACTTCTTCAAAGCAGTAAAGAATATATTTTCTTGATTAACATAATATTTGAATGCAAAGGGTGATATTGTTACAGACAAGAAGTGCTGCCGGCGAATTTTTTTTTTTAAATAAATGGATCTCATTATTTTCCACAAGTTTGTAAAAAAAATGTTAATACATAACGCAGAATCAGGAGCATATAATACTTAGGACTCCACAGCAAATTTTAAAATGCAAATTGTATATGCCAATTTTCTTGTATTGTTTTATTGTTTAACAAAAATGTTTTACCACAAATTTTCAAATAATATTTTTATACCTTTGCAGAGGGTATTATAATTTCAGTCAAAAGTTTGCAACGGAGTGAAGGAGACATTTCCGACCCTATAAAGTATATATTATTGATCAGCATCACCAGGAGAGTCAATTTAGCCATGTCCGTCTATCCGTCCGTCCGTCTGTCCGTCCATCCGTCCGTTTCTACGCAAACTAGTCTCTCAGTTTTAAAGCTATCTGCTTGAAACTTTTCCAAAAGTGGTCTTTCTATTGCAGGTAGTATATAAGTCGGAATGAGCCGGATCGGGCCACTATATCATATAGCTACCATAGGAACAATCGGAAAAAAAATTAAAAAAAATATAACTTTGTTTTTTAAATTTTTAATTTTTTTGTTGTTCTTTGGGATTTGGTAATATTTAAATATTATGGAATTACGGTCCGAATAGCTGCCATAGAAACAACGGCAAAATTCATCACTACCTTTTTAAACATAGTCACATGCAAAATCATAACTATTTTCAACTAACTTTTTACCGCTCGCCTGTGAAATGAACCAGGTTTGGGTGTTCTTTAAACTCATTGAGGTATTGCTGGGCAGTGTGTGTATGTTTTTCCACATACGCGGCTCATTGTACTGGCCTGAGCGTATTCCGCACGTGATCTTATACTGCGCCACATTCCTGTCCTTCGCAGTGCTCGCCGCACTGGGGGCATTCCGACTGATGCTTACACGGAGTTCGGTGCTCTCCTCGCAGTTCCTGCTAACACTGAGCGCCGTGATCGCGCACTACTTCTGCGGCGTGTTAATAATGCAGACCGCCATGCAGGACCCGCACCTGGCTGCGATCAACTCCAGCACCGAGTACCTGGAGCACCCGCACTTTGCGCACTGCAAGCAGCAGAGCATCGCTGCGCTGATAACAGGTACCATGTACCTAATGCACATGTTCCACGTGTTTGACCTACTGATGCGTATGGAGCCCGGGGACTGGCGTCGCCAGGCGACGGGACGAGAGTTCTCCGATAGGACTGAAGCTGAAGCGGGTCGCGCTGCCGGGTTGTTCGTACTTTCCAAACCGGTGGACGACTTTCTGTGCAACTGCTGTAGGTGCTACTTAAAGCTGGCCTACTCCCAGCCCCTGAGCTTTCGACTGAACGCGGAGGCGGAGCAACCGCACATTGTGGCCCGTATGTGGCAAATTATGGGAGAGGCGCGCAGAAAGTTCTTTTCACTGCAACATGCCGAGAGCGACGAGAGTTTTCTGTCCACGCCAACTATAACCACCAGTGACTCGGATATAGTAGCAGTGGTCTCCGAATACTCCGCTTCGATGGAGGAGGAGTCCCGTAAACGTCGCAGATCCTCCTCCACCTGGCGTGGCACCAGCGATTCTTCTAGCCTGTGGGCCTTGATCGAGGACAGAAGCAGTCTAAGCAGCCTAGCTTCAACAAGGTCCAGTCAGAATAGCGAAGCCACAATGAGACCGGGTGGAATGGATCGCAGGTTGAACCGGCGACCAAATGTTCGCGCAGACTCCGAGAAAAGGGAGAAGTCGGAGATTCTGTTGGTAGAACAGGGTTCGAGCTATGGTCGCCTCAGAACGTTGAGCAATGCTGAGATGCTCAATAAGCAAAGAGATGTACAACCAGATAAGGAGATTGATAAAGAATCACAGAGGGATTCGGCAAAGTCAACCCGGGGTAAAGAAAAAAAAGTTAAAGTTGCATCCGATCGCACAAGCTTTGCTGAATCGCTTAATAAGCCTAGAGATGAAAGCCAAATTAAGGATTCAGATGAAAAATTCGCAAAGAAGTCGTCCAGGTTAAGCCGAGACACAAAACAAAATTTAGAAGTAGCACCCGATGAAGCAAAGAGAGTCGAGGAAAATAATGATGAAAATTTTCAGGGTACTTCCAACAATAAAAAGGCAACCAACATTGGCACTGGCAATGAAGAGTAAATTATCCTTCATAAAAAATGAAAATATGCAAGCGCTGGAAGGCCAAAAAATGTAAATGTAATAGCTTTTTTTCTCAACCAAGCATTTAAATTCGTTTTTCAAAAGCACTTGCGTTATGGAAATTGAGAATTAAGTAAAAAAAACAAAATACAAATAAATATATGAAAAGAAAAATGCTATTTGTTAATAACAAGCTTGGTATTAAAATTTTATGTTTTATACATCAATTTACATTTGAAGAAATTACAAATTTCCACACGCAAATATTTCCTGCTTTGACTGTTTGATAATACTAACCTGTATAAGGGAGACGTCCCCATTGGCCAGCAGATTAAGGGTTGCCAGCAGCATCCAGCCGCTACTGGTTTCCTCCGTGGTTTCCACCTCAAGAAACTTTACAATGGCAATAGACGCCGCTTCCGTGCTTTGGTTGGAGGCACGCTTGCGGATTTCACTGACCATCAGACGGGACACTTGCTGGCAAAAGGCGACCACATCCCAAAATTTTTCGCTCATGTCGGTTGCCGGACAGCTGCTAAAGACCTGCAAAGATGGGGAGTTATCGATGATTTGCTCTGTACGGGTGGTTAACATACTTTGCAGAAGAGGGGCAGCATCTCGTAGAGCTTGCCGTCGCGCTCCTGCTCGCTTAGCGGTTCCCTCGGATGGGTGTAATCGTTGAAGAGCTTTTTTAGCGTGCTGAGGCTCACCAAAACGCGAGCGTCAATCAGGGCCTCCTCCCCAGTTCGTCCGTTTGCGGCCTGCGTGGCGCTGAGATCCATTGCCGGCCTGTTGCCCCCGGAAGAACTATTTGCCGTCGAAGGGCTGACGCTGCTGCCACTGACGCTGCCTGCGCTAGCCGCTCCGCGCAGCTTTCGCATTACGTTCATCTTTGTGTTGAATAATTCGAGGTGTTTAAACTGAAAGAGCAAAAATTAAGTAGACATTATCTTGAAGAATGATTACAAGTGCAACAACTCGGTGCATACATTTTAAGAAGGGCAAACAAAAATTTTCGTTTTCCAAAAATATTTCTATATTTCCAACGTTGTGTGAGTAGTGATTATTTCATAGATCATCGATAAAATTTACCAAAATGGTCAATTAAAACCCAAGTGTGCCACAAATTTTGTCAATTTTTTTGTTTATTATTTTTAAAATATTATAAAAGATAAAGAAATGAACTTACTTGTAGTCAACAAACAGTACATGAGTGATTTTGATTCATTTAAATATCAGCATTTTAGATCAAGAAAAACATTCTTAAAGTTCAACATGATGTGCCCAATAATCAAGATGGTCACTGTATGAACATAACAAACTTGCGACAAGTGATTTATTTATTCATGATTTATGTAATTTAAATAAATAATACATGTAAATTCAAAAAGTTTTCTAGTCTTAATAGCTGTGATATTACTTATAATTATGAAAAAAAAAAGAATCTGTCAATTGCTTCGAAACCTAAAACCACAGTATGTTTTGAAATGATTCGAATTATAGGGAAGTGAAATAGAAAGTTAGAATACAAAATTGTTAATTTAAAATCTTTGTACAAAAAAAAAAAGATCTATTGAGGCTTTACAAGTAATAACGAATCATAACAATTAGATTTTCTAATTATTTGGAAACTGTTGACTAACGAAAGGTGCTAGTTGCCATTCTATTGTTCTTGGAATAGATACAGAAACTAGACATTAATACGTTAGTTTGCTACAGTCGTGGCCACCATTGTACACTTGCAGTTAAAAACAATCCGACAGGTGGTTCGCCACACACATACATGTCGGTTGATAATGTAGGCACGTTTACAGTGGCGTCATTAATCTATTATGTTATCTGCAAGGTATAATATTTTGACAATTTATTTGCACCACACAACAGCGTAAACACTTTCGATTCAGAGCCTTAATTCGTTTTTAAATCACATCATCGCACATTGCAGTTAGCGTTATTGCTTGTTTTCGCAGCTATTCTATTTCTGCTGCCGCCGCTTTAATTAGCGGCCACTGGAGGTGAATCACGCAAAAAGTGCCATTATTGTATTCCACACGGTTATTTACTTTTTGGGAGTGAATGAACGTACGAACGTGGCCTCCGGGTGCAGTTGTTTGCTCACATTGTCAGCAAATATGAGGGAGACAGCTGTTCGACGTTTACTTATTGCGCACTTGTTTGTTTACTTAAAGTTAGCTCCCTTTTGGAGTGGTTCTTTATTGTTGACCGTCATTTTCGGCCAACGCATTTAGGGCACCTAACGGCCGGCCACTTTGTTGTTGCTTTTTTGGGCTCCGCTTGGTCCACTCTTTCGTAGTCGCTCTTTGTTTTGCTCGAGTCAATCGCGCTTCCCCGACTATTTTATTGATTTTTCTTCCTCTCTCTGGAAGCCCTCTCTCCTTCTGCCTTCCGCCCCTTCCACATCCAGCAGACAGGTCGAAGTTGAAAATTTTCACTGGTGGTTTTGTTTCTTATTTCACAAATTCATCACTTACTATTACTGTACGTCGCAATCATGGTGTTTATTGAGTGACTTCTCACTAAATTGGGCTATTAATGCGTTCGCTTAACATCTTGTTTCTCGGGTGAAAAAGTAAAACGATTTCTTGGTCTGTACTCTCTTTTCGTTTTTCGCATGAGTGCTGTAAAACGCTGCTGGACGGATCAGCTGTGCACAAATCGCTACTATCGCTGCCTGTGTTGGCTAGCGACCGCCATCAGGACTGCATTTTAAGGTGTGATCGGCGGCTTAGGTGATCGAATTTGAAATTCAACGGAACTGATAAGAGGGAGATTGGCCCTTTTTATGGTCTCACTAAGGGTTGAGTTTACGCAGCGGAAAAATGTAAGAACTTTAATAATGTATGTGCTGGAAAAAATTGAAACAAAACTCTTTCAGCAATGATTAGTTAAATGATTAGTTGGTTTATAAATAACAATTATTATAAATAACACATTTTCAGCGTGCTTTGAAAGTTTTATTTTCTGATCAGATAGCTGAAAAGGTTAAGAACTTAAATAATGTATGAGCTGTAAAAAATTGAAACAAAACTCTTTCAGCAATGATTAGTTAAATGATTCGTTGGTTTATAAATAACAATTATTATAAATAACCCATTTTCAGCTTGGTTTGAAAGTTTTAATTTCTGATCAAAGTTCTTTAGTTTTATTTTTGTGATTAAGAAAAATCTCAAACTTTTATTTCTTTGAAAATAACATTTACATATATATATTGGTTTTATTTTGACAAACAATTTTTTGTACTTTTGTAATTTTTAACTGAATGCTTTTTACTTTTAGATAAAAAGATTTTTAACTGTGTGGTTTCACTAAGCAGCCTCGGCAGTTTGCAATATGATCTCTGGAATTTCTTAAATTTTTTTAGGTTTGTTTCTTCGCAAAGAGCTTTCTGCACACAACAAAATAAGATTAATTTAAAATCCAATTTATATTTTCATTTTGTTTTCTCTTTCTTTTTTGTCAGGCAGAAAGGCAGGAAATTTGTTGTAAAATAATAGTGCGAAGGAAAAACTAGAACTAGCTCAGCCCTGGGTTCAATTTCCAGATCAGTCGCCATCCTTTCATTTCGTTGTGTTTTATTTTATAATTGATATGTACAAAAATATGTTCAAACAGATCGAATCCATATTTAATAAAATATTTCAAATGTGTACGGAATATATAAAGCTCAAAGAAGCTGGATCAACGAAAAAAATTGTTTTTATACCCTTGCAGAGGGTATTATAATTTCAGTCAAAAGTTTGCAACGCAGTGAAGGAGACATTTCCGACCCTATAAAGTATATATATTCTTGATCAGGATCACCTCCTGAGTTGATATAGCCATGTCCGTCTGTCCGTCCGTCTGTCCGTCCGTCCGTTTCTACGCAAACTAGTCCCTCAGTTTTAAAGCTATCTGCTTGAAACTTTCCCAAAAGTTGTCTTTCTATTGCAGGTAGTATATAAGTTGGAACGAGCCGGATCGGGCGACTATATCATATAGCTGCCATATAACTGAACGATCGGAAAAGCCATAACGTTGGTGTTTTTAAAGTTAGGAAGTTGGGATTTTCTATAAGTTTTATTTTTGACCAATTAATCCGACCTACCGAATTTCAAAAGGATCGGACGACTATATCTTATAGCCGCCATATAACTGATTGATCGGAAATGCCATAACTTGGGTGTTTGTAAAGTTAGGAAGTTGGGATTCAAGAAAGGAAAGCTAACTTCGGACGGAGCCGAAGTTGATATACCCTTGCAAAGTATTCAGTAAGTTATATTCTTCAAAATTATTCATATGATGTATTCTTAATACTCATAAAAAGTCCCAACTTCCTAACTTTACAAACACTAACGTTATGGCTTTTCCGATAGTTCAGTTATATGGCAGCTATATGATATACTTTATAGGGTCGGAAATGTCTCCTTCACTGCGTTGCAAACTTTTGACTGAAATTATAATACCCTCTGCAAGGGTATAAAAAGGGATATTTTCGCAGCTTTTACTGATGAAGGTATGCGTAAATAAATAAGACTTGGAAAAATTTATGTCATTAGCTTACACACTGCGCGAAATATTCTGAAAAACATCAAATTTGATCTACGTACACATGTTTTAGGAGGACTGTGAAAGTAACTGTGACGGTATTGAAACAGACGGACAGACGGACATGGCTATATCGACTCCCCTATTGATCCTGATCAAGAAAATATATACTTTATGGGATCGGAAACGTCTCCTTCATTGCGTTACAAACTTCTGACCAAAATTATAATGCCCTCTGCAAGGGTATAAAAATGGCATTTGTAACTTAATAAATTCAATTGACTTCAGAAATGACTTGGCTAGTATCTGCATACGTACATGTGAGAATCTTTGTTGAATCTGAAAAGGGGTTATTAATATTTGTGTTCGCAATCACACTTGATATAATTGTCAGCAACCACAGATGTCTGTCAGCTAAATCAACAAAATTGATCGCATATTGATTAAGCCCTAATACAATTAATGATACAATTTGTTGATTTATTTATGGAGGAACCTGCCGAAGCTTTACTGGATTGTGTCGACAAGGCAATCAAATGCAACGCACGTCTATCTGTTCTAATTTCAGGGGATCCATATCCAATTTCGTCTGTTTATAAATTAAAATTTGAATGCAGATTAAATTCCAGTTTTGAGTCAATTAGGGGTGAAAAGAGAAAAGGCGTGCTGTGCCAAATATTTACCCAGCTGTTGGGTCTCGGGGGAGCATTATCCTGATGTCCGATTGACTCGCCCCCCAAATATAGTTTGCCTTTGGGCGTTGGCCCCGCCACGCCCTCCCATGACCCCACTGACCCGTTGCGTGACTGTTCGCATCCAACCGCTCCCATATTCCTCATTTTGCCAGCCAGACACACGAGCTCAGCGCAGGTTCCCTAATGCTTATTTATACGGGAAAGCACTTGGGATTGGCACTCCTCGCTTCCCATCTAGTCAGGTACTTTGCGGACTTTCCTGTCTGCCACCCCCGAAAACGGACTGTGCAACGGGTTGAGGTAAGAGCTGCGTCTGCGGCAATATTCTAATGGATTTTTCGTTTTTAGCTATAAATAGGCCCCCAACAACTGACAAGAATTGAAACAATATTTTAGACTTTAAGAAGGGGGATTCCAGAAAACCGCCATTCGGTAGAATGATGACACGTTGAAAAAGAAACAGGTAGTGTCATCAACCGATAGAGCCTTAATCGGATTTTAAGAACGGAACAAGAATACCTGAACGTATATTTCTTATAGTAGCAATTACTGGTCGTAGCAATTTACTATTAACATAGTTATTTAACCAGAGTATCCATGGGCTGGGGAATTGTAAGTATTTTATTGGTCAATTTAACGAATAGACTTTTTTTGGGTGTCAAATTCAGTACTCACAAAAGAAATGCCTGTTTTTATTCGGTCTCTTTGTGCAACCGTCTCACTGAGAACTGCTTTCAGAAAATTTCAAATACAACCCCAAAAATCATTTTCCCAGCTTTCCCGTGGGACTCATTAGGCGGGGCTTCCCCCTTTTTTGGTACGAATAACTTTTATTTCACGTTTTAGCGCCTCTGGCTTTCATCACTGTGCTGTTGTTGACAATGAGCGAAATATTTGCGTATCGAAATTGGCAAGACCGCAGGAGGAGGCTAAGGATACACTGCCCTCCATTCCCGAAAGACATGAATATTCATTCTTTTGCTGAGCGAGTCCCAATTGAGAAAGGAAGATGCTTCAGGTGGCAGGGGCTTTTGGGATTAACATAAAATTTCATTTGATTGTGTTTTGGTGAAGATTTTTATGGCGTATAAGGGATTTTATGTGGAAACTTACTTGTTTGGGGATCTGATACAAGATGCCTAGTGAAATCTCAACGGGCCATAAGATTGATGGGAATTGTTTATGTTACGGGCAAGGAAGCGGACTTCATTGCGTTTGTGAGTGAGTAAAAAAAGATGATTAGGTGTTGATTTTGTTGGACTAATTTAAAGAATTGGTGATTGGAAATTTGTTTATTGGCAATATTTAAATGTAAATTTTTTGCAATCAGACTGAGGCTACGTCGCAAAAATAGCTCTTCACAAATCCCAACAGTAAACGAAAAGGCGATTATTTCACTGCAAACTGCTAAATGTGTTTTACGATGCAATTCGGTCGTGATTTTGGTACAATGTGCAAGATTGATGAGCTTTCTGTCAAGGTCGTTCCACTTTTTTCGGTTTCGGTGCCGTGTTCTTGTTGATTCTTTGCACTGAATGAGAGTATTTGCCTGTGAAATTTTTCAAGCAAATATGAGTTGTGCAAACAGCAGATGAAGTGCCTGGGCTATAAAAGAAGGAATTCACGACGGAAAGAGGCACAGTTCCAGCACTGATTTTATCATGAATCGATTAGTGGCCGTCTTCAGTTTCTGCCTGCTTCTGGTCGCAGGACACTCGGTGGACGAGCAACAGGATACCCAGGTAGGATTAAACAAAAACATTCACAAGTATTTTTATATGGAGTAAAGCCCATTATAATTTTTTTTTATTAATCATGCATTGAAGCGCAAACTCAAATCGCCCATCATTCCATTTATAAGGCACATACACTTACACATATATATTTTAAGAATTTCCATCTCAATTGACATTCTTAATCCCAGGAGCTGGTTGATAGCACTACCCCTTCGATTGACGAAGGGTTTCCCCATGGATCTCACGAGCTGGTCGAGCTGCCGGAGATCCTTGAGGAGAACCTGATGGATGCCAACAAGATCAACTGGCTGCCCGTGTGGGAGGAACATGAGCTTTCAAGGATTGCCCGCGAAGTGGTCGAGAAGCCAGATAACACTGAGCTCTCGCCGTCCAAGGAAACGGTGGAGGATGCACTGCTGCCCAAGGAAAACAAGGAGTGCCCCAGTAACGCCGAGCGCGGCCTAACCAATCTCATCCGGGTGGCACGCCCACTTTTACCCGCTGCTCGATTGAGAAACATTTTGGCGAATGCTGTGGAGGATCCCCAAGTTCGGGATCTGATCAAATTGCTTCGCAGCGATGGCCTTAAGTCGCAGGTGCAGCGGTTGAGAGCCACGAAGCAGCACCAGGTGCTGCATGACTATTTCTGCCGACGGCTCAAGCTGGATCCTGCCTATTACGTGGAATTCGTGAGGGTGTTCCTCGATGTCCACATCTCCGACCCGCCGACCACTAAGCTTCCGAACCGCCGTCCAGGAATCCGAGGACTCCTCCAGGATCTTCGGGATGCTCTGCCCCGCGCCACCCTGCGGGATATGTACCTGCGTCTCTACTCCTCGGATTCCGAGCTCTCCACCGCCGTGCGCCTCACCCGCAGCTCCGAGTTCCGGCGAATGCTTCGTGATCTGCGCTACCTGAAGGAGTACCGCTCCTTGACCGACGAGCTTGAGAAGGCGGGAGTACCTCTGCGCCAGCTCCAGCAGCTGGTGGGCAACGCCCTGGGCTGGACTACAGGTGACATGGCCGCTGAGACTCTCATTTGGAGTGTTTAGGTGGCCTAGACAGCTTTAAATGATGATTCAGATTTTTTTATTTATCCTTCAATTAAATTGTAACCCCAATTAAAAAATTAAATTTAAAACTTCAAATAAAATTAATCAATTATATATATGTATATTATATAATCTCCTTTAAAGTGTTATTGAATAAAATTCAAAAATTATATATAAAACCAATATAAGCGTTCGATGTATTATTATACCCGTTACTCGTAGAGTAAAAGGGTATATTGTATTCGTGCAAAAGTATGTAACAGCTAGAAGGAAGCGTTTCCGACCCTATAAAGTATATATATTCTTGATCAGGGTCACTAGCCGAGTCGATATAGCCATGTCCGTCTGTCCGTCTGTCCGTCTGTCTGTCCGTCTGTCTGTCTGTCTGTCTGTCCGTATGAACGCTGAAATCTCGGAAACTTTAAAAGCTAGAAGATTGACATTTTGCATGTAGAATTTAGAAGTTCCTACGCAGCGCAAGTTTGTTTCAAAATGGTGCCACGCCCCCTTTAACGCCCACAATCGCTAAAATACGATTTTAAAAATTTAAATATTTCGGAAAAGTAAAAATGCAGTTTTATTGTGTTTATCAATACCTATCGAAATGTAGCAGAAATTTTTCAAATCGGACCATTCGTTAAAAAGTTATGCGTGATCAAAGTTTATATCTCCATCTCCCTCGCACTCCCTTTACCTGAGTAACGGGTATCTGATAGTCGGGGCACTCGACTATAGCGTTCTCTCTTGTATTATATTTTATATAACCAAAATATTAAGAAATCAATCTGATTAAAAAATGGCACCTAAGTTATTATACCCTTGCAGACGTTATTATAATTTCAATGAAAAGTCTGCAACGCAGTGGTGGCCACCACAACCTCCGGATATAAATCCAATTAAAAAATTTATGGAGACTTGTGAAATCGCAATTGGTGAAATATGTAGTTCCTTCAAGTGGAATGAAGGAGCTGTGGGTGATGAAAAAGGACATATGGAATGCTATTCCCCCCGAATTGGTGCAACGCCACACCCTAAGTATGCCAAATCACGTAGGAGAACATTATTCAAAAAATGGTAATAAAAATATTTGGTTTCAAAGTGACCGCAGTGCAAAACTGTAACATTTGACTTATTGTACAGATTGCTCCAGCATTTTTTCTCGGCTTGCCGAAGTTTGCTTTCTTTTTTGTTATTACTGTTTTCAAGTTATAAAATAAATAATATTTATTTCGAGTTCTGACTTACCAATTTCTATTATTAAGTTTTAATTACTTTTTGTGTTTGATAAAGTTAAAAAACGTTATAGCAAGATTTATTTATTAACCAGAAATCGAGATAAAACAAGCTTACAAGATAACCCTTTACAAATTTTGCTACAACAACAATTCATATATATTTATTTTTGGATCAAATTCGACTTTTAAGTAAGCATTCTAATAATAATATTGCTTTATTTATATTACAACATTTCCAATTACAACTTACAGCGGACATTCTTGTTTTATATTTGTATTCGTCGTACCAGTCAGACATCAAATTATATTTCGTTCACAAAACTCGGTCCCCCTTTGGGAGAAGAAGCAACAACTGGGCAAGATATGTACATATAACTCATTCGCTGCAATTGCATGAAAAAATGCGTGAAGGCACAACATCAATGTGTTTACGTCTTTTAGAGGCAGGCGACCAAAGGCACTTCAAATTCGTTCAGGGTCAGAATCATTAGGGTCGGTATGTGTAGTAGGGTATTGTGTGTTAGGATCTGTTCTGGGTCTCTGTCGCCGCATGTTTGCCACCAATTGCCACGCGGCGGGTAAACAAACAACCTCTGAAATTGCTGCCACACATGTCGTCGTCTCCCAAGACTTAATCATCCGCGGAGCTGTCGACGGCGACTTCTAATCGAGGCAACAGTTGCCATAAATAAAATTACTGACACAACGGATAGACATTAGCCAACGGTAGTGTATAAAAATAAGACTCAGAAAGGGCAAGTCCCAGCGACGTTTACGGAAATACGAAACCAATGCTTTATTTGGTTTACTCCGCCAGACTAGCGGCAATAATCTGAGAAGCAAGCGAACGTGTCGAAATAAACAAACAATTGTTGAAACTACAAAGAAAATCTGAACTCAGATAGAGCTCAGATAGTGAATCGGATTTAGCAGAAACAGAACAAATTTCGCCTTGTTGCAAATGACAAATTGCAAATTATAATGATAAGTGATAAAGGCGGCACATGGGCATAAGTTAGTCATTAATAAATTGTAAAGAATAGTTTTTTTAGTTAAGGGGTTATCCGGGTCTTAAAACTTCAAAAAATTCATTTTTTTCAAACTTTTTTATATAATAGTACAAAGTTTCAGGAATGTTGTTTAAAAATTTCAAGTCGATCGAAGCAAAACTGTAGGAATGGGAGAAATTTAAAGCCCAGCGCGTCGAACGTCACAACGGGCCATTCGGGCTCTGGCGTCGGGCAGATGCGGCACTTTAAACGCATTTTTCTCAAAACCACTTTTTTGAAGTCGGTAGTCACGATTTCTCAAAAACTATTGCACCGATCAACTTCTGCTTTTGCACACTTCTTTTAGACATAATTCTCTTGTCCTTAACGGAGGGATTTTTTTAATTTTTAATTACAACTCATTTTATAAGGCAAAATATGGCCAAAATTTACGTAAATAATTACACTTTTTATGAAAAGCGCTACAAAAAATTCAATTTTTAATTTAAAAAAAATGGGTCGAGCGAGACACATTCACTATCAGAATAATTTTGGTTTTTTGATTTCAGATAAAAATTGGCGAAGATATTTTGCCTACCGCAAGGACACAATTTTTTATGAGGTCAAGTTCAAGCCTGCCTCAACGGCTCAATTTTAAAAATTTTTGGTTCAAATTTTTACACAATGTTGGTCAAACCATAAACATTAATGTACAATAAATGAAATTTGTGAAATTGTCGTAAGATCTTTAAAAAAATTCACGAAAATAGGCTTTTTTTCGTGCTCCAAACCTCGGATAACCCCTTAATTAGACTCTCTTTAAAAAAATATTATTTTAATTTATTTATTACATTTTTTATTATATTAAATTTGATAAAATAAAAAGGGTCTTTGTGTCTATTGGGGAAGGCAACTTTACAAATAGTCGTGTTTTAAAATATATTTGTTTTATATTTTAAATCGCTTTGGTTAAACTTCCAGCTTCGTTGTTTTACGGGAAAACTATTTGTTTATTAATTAAGTTTTTTGAATCTTGTATTTATTTTTCCGCAGTAGTTGGTCACTGTTTTCAGGGCAAATCACCTTAAAAACAAAATAAATCTTAATTTATGAAAAAACCCCTTACATTTAGGAGAAATTAAATTGTCTTGCAAATATGGGCCAATTACCTTTGAATAAGGATCCAAATAGGGCGATTTCGGGTGATTATTTTTAAGAGCATTAATTGTTGAGTTAAATGCGAATATATTTAAAAGGGTTGTCGGTGTACTTGATAGAATTGGTACTGTGCAAAAACCTGGTGCACTTAAAAAAATTGCATTGATTTTACGAATACAAGAAAGTTGCTTAAGATTTTTAGACGAAGACGTTCGCGTTACCTGGAAAAGATAATTTCTTAAATGGTAAAAAATTTATGGTACGTTTTCTTAAATCATGAACAAACTTTCTAAAATCGGATAATTTCCTTTCTAATTTAATTGGGGATTGTTTTTGAAAACCAATAAACTCTTCATTGAGCTTTTTCTTTGAGCTCCGTTTTCCTTTTTTTTTGCCTTTAAAAAGTAGACGTTTTCCACATTTTTTTAAGTGCACACCTTTTATTTAATTTTTAATTCAAAAAGCGTTGTTTCGTTTTTCACTTCACTTTTCCGTTTTAAGTTTTCAGCATAATTCATCATTTCGTATTTTTTTGGCTTTGTCATTTGCAAAATGTGCTGTCGAGCGATATTCAAACTTATCGAAACACGTCAAATTTCTTATTACTTAATTTAAAAATAAATTTAAAAAATAACAATTTTTAAAAATTCTCTTGTGATGATATCAAATAAAGCTAAAAAATCAACGACTAAAATCTTTTTTATTTTACAAATAAGATCTGAATGTATATTTAAGAATACATTTACTTTTCAAACCGCATATTGACCGATTTTATTACGCAAATAACTTAGCCTTAGTAAATCGGGGTCAATTTCCGGTTTTACAGAAAATTTATTATTATTATTATTAAGTTACAACAAATTTTAAATGTCATGTTAATTTAAGTTAGGCCGGATTATTAATAAGAGCGAGAAAAAATCGTACTATAAGAAGTCGTGGAAATACCAGGCATGTCGTTCTGTCCGATGAAATATATCCTAAGGATAGTATATCCTAGATACGTAAATAGTCTTTATCCTTTAACCTACAGATTCACGATAGCGTTAAAGAAATTAGGAACCGTCTCGTAAGACTTTTTCTCTGCTTCAAAGTCCAATTGCTGGCTGGTGAGTCGCTAGTTTTTCCATGGGTCAGTCTCCATGGAAAAGCTTTCCTCAAAATTCCGACAATTGCTGTGCGAAATCACTGCAACGGCTTCGTTTTTCTTTAACCTTTGTTGCAACATTTTCGTTCCGCTATTCAAACTCAATTAGGGAGAGTCGTTCACCTTTTTTACCATTCTGTTGTTTGGCTTTTGTTGCATGGGGCCCTTCCCTATGGAGCGTACAATAGTCAGGAGACGCCATCCACCCACACCTTAAGTACGGTCTTATGTAAACTCTAAAAAACAGGGGGTATTGCAATTTCAGGAAAGCATCTGTGTCTTGATCAGCATCACCCGTCGGTTAACCTTGCAATGTCACATAGCATTCTTCATTATTTTAACCCGGAATTACTATAAGAAACATCCAAAATAGAATTAAATTTCTTGTCCTGATACTTTTGTAGATTCCTGCTTTGACGATTACGACCACTTTCACCGATTTCACATGGCTCTTGATTTTTCAAGTAACTTAACATTTACCGCCTTTACCATTCCAATTTTTCCCTAGCCCAAAGACTATGACTTTGGCTTGCC